GCTACCTGTATTTTTACACAATCACAATATCAACAAAAACACAACATACTGGTGAACAGAAAACACAATGAAGCAGTACATGCACAGAGATTGCACTGGTCACATGCATACAGTCTATGGCCGTGAGCCCGTTGCAGGATATAAAATGTCACTGCCCCCTCCTGCTCATTCACAGTGAATGTTCCTGAATATTCCTGCTGTGTTCTCACATCAGCTCAGTCTGACTCAAGATGAAATCTACTAAGGGGCTGGCAGAAAAAAAGTATGGGTATGGGTAAAGTCAGGGAGAAAGCTCACCCCGAAAAAACCCCCGAAGTGTGAAAAATCACCATATGTAATGGAAAGAAGGTTCAGATATAGGAACACACTGCATGAAGTATTCAAACCCTCCCTGAAACTCTGCTTTGAACGGAGCAAAGTTATTTTGCAGCCAACATGATGAACTACTGAAATTCAAACATGATGGCGGTTTACTTCAACACAAACTCTACAAGCCGATGTGTCAATTCATTTAGTGCCAACACTGAATAAACAAGCAGTTTTAATGAAGTGGTGATTTAATGGGGCTGACAGCGTCTGAAATAACTTGTTGTAGCAGGATTCTTTTAGATTGTCTGTATTCTCCTGATGATGAGGAGAGCTGTGTATACTCAGGCTAAAAATAAATGTTCTTCCATGTGTGGCTCTCGCATGTTTCATCTTCAAGTGATGAGTGGTTTGAGTGTCCTCTTCAGACACAAAGACTTCCACATGGTGCAGCAGCACTTTCACCTCAATACCTGTGAGAAAAAAACACCCGGTTGGAACTAATCTGCTCTCAGATACACACACAGACACACACAGACACACAGACAGACAGACAGACAGACAGACAGACAGACAGACAGACAGACAGACAGACAGACAGACACACACACACACACACACACACACACACACACACACACACACACACACACACACACACACACACACGTTCAAAGGTATATGAAAAAAACACATACATGTGGTGAACATGTGGTTCTTTTTATAGTCACTGGGTATAGTCACTAAAGGTAGTTTGTAATATATGAGTTAATTATAAAATAGATCTCAGATACATCTCAGCTCTAAGTCTGGCACATCTTGTGTTTTTTAAGGGCAGTAGGTTGGAAAGAAAGTCGCAGTAAAGATGGTTGTCTCTTCTTCAGAGTTCTCAAGTGCAAAACAGCTCTTTGATTAAGAGTAGCTACTATGTTAAAGAGAGATTTAAACATCAGAGAACAATCTACAGGTGAGTTTGGAGAGTCAAAGTAAGTCTTGAACTGCTGACTTTAGTACTGTATGTTGTAGAAAACCTTTTTTTTTTAAATATGAAGCATGTCTCCACATTTCAGGATAATAAATGAACTTGCATTGTTATTGACATATTTGTTAATTCATAAGAAAAGCACATGTTGAATCCACATGTTTGCTTCAGACTTCTTCCATTTGTATAGAATCTAAAGAATTCCCACAGAACAAAATGAAGTGTTTTTTTTTCCTAAGAGGTGATCATCTTTCCACCTTTTAGAGCCTTTTTCTTCTTCAAACCAGCATGATGGCAGAGTGCCTGAGTCATATTTCAGATGACAGCTATACATTTCTCACCTCATGCTGAGAGCCTCTCTCTCAGTATACGATGCCTGTGAGTGAGAGGAGGGATGAGATAAGGCAAGAGCACAATGAGATGAGAAAGAGTGAAGGTGGAGTAAGACGTCTGGAAACAGCAAAAAGTACTGTATGTCCTTTTTTTTTTTTTTTTTACAGTTTTCTTACAGTATAAAACTTTGACTAACATACACTCCAGGGTGTTACTGCTGTATTTTGGGGGAAATAATTGTGTTTACAAAAGGAATCTGATCATGGACGCAGGAAGTAGGCATGATGCAGCACCCCTAATATTTAACAACTTTAAAGCATCATCTTTTAAGTTTACCCCCTTTAATGGGATGTGAGAGATCTGGGCGTGCCCACACGGGACGCATGCCGTGCAAGACGTGTTTTCTTAACGTGCACGATTGTGTACACAACAGCTGTGTGTACGTACAACTAATGCTATACATGTTTGAAAGCTTTGCTTATAGTGATAACAACCATGTAAACCATTTCAAGGTCCAAACAACACAGCAGCCACAATCTACGCAGCTGTCAGACCAACGACAAACACATAACTATACATTACTGTATATTGACTCACCATTTAACGTTTTTTCTGTACTTTTCTGGGCATAATACTCCAACAAAAAAATGCTCCCACTGCATTGACAAGAAGCCCCTTGATCCAAATCCTGTAGAAGATTTCATCCAAAACACAATATAACCAAAGAGATGGTCAGATTGTCACAAATTTTCTGTTCATATCCTGATTTCAAGGTGTTTTGGTACTATTTAATAAAATAATACATTTTTCTCCACTTTCAAGACATCACCATGGGGACTGCACTCAGCTCACTTGGCCACTTACAAGCTTTCATTCACTGATATTCAGACATACCAAAGGTCAGATAAAAACTGGTAAACTCCAACATTCTCTCCAAATACTGAGAGCCGCTGTTGAAAGGAGGTATCTGCCGCTAATCTGACATCTCTACACCCAGCCAATTGCTCCCAACTGTGCTGATGACTGATGTTTCTACAATCAATCAATCAATTCATCTTTATTTGTATAGTGCCAAATTCAAAGAAGAAACTTTACAAAACAGCAGGTTAAAGACCTTACTCTCATAGCCAATGAGATTCTGGAGATGAAGAGTGAATATGTTGCTTCAATGAACACCTCACATCCTGAAAGCAGGACGACGCTTTTTAAAGCCAAACAGACTACAGTCATTGTTCATTATTTCAGCCTCAGTTCACATGTTTTAATGATTTTTGGAAGAATTGGCACATATGCTACATTCAAACTACAGATTGCTAGCTTTCAAAGGAGACATTATGTGTGCTTGTAGTCCATACGGTTAGAGTCACCACATGTCTGGGTATCAACTTTTAAGCCAATTTAACAAGATGCTAAATAATTCTACAATTCTACAATTCACTTAGCAGACGCTTTTATCCAAAGCCACGTACATCAGAGAGTAAGAACAACACAAGCAAGGATCTAGAAAAAAGGGAACAATGTCAGTAAGTGGAAACGATCAGCTTTGAGTCTGATTGGACACACAGGTGCTGACAGGAAGTGACCAGAGGCAAAGCACAACATTGACGGCAGTTCTTGAGAGCTCTAATCAGTATAGAAACCATCTTATAAGTCGTCGTTATCAAACAAAAACAATCGTCACAACCATCATCATCATCATCAATAATATGGAGACCATCATCATTAAGTTAGTAGGTATTCATGAAAGAGCTGGGTCTTTAGCTTTTTCTTAAAGGTACAGAGGGGCTCTGCAGATCAAATGGAGTGTGGAATTTCAATCCACCACCGGGGGCGACAGAGAAGAAGAGTCTAGTCAGAGACTTAGGACCCTGTTGTGAAGGTTGGATCAGACGCCTTTCATTGGCAGAGCGTAGTGGGCGGGAGGGAGTGTAGACCTGGATCAGAGAGTTAAAGTAAGGAGGAGAGGTTTCTGTGTCTGTTTTGTAAGCGAGCAGCAGAGTTTTAAATCTGATGCGAGCTGTAACTGGGAGCCAGTGTCAGGAGATGAACAGCGGAGTGACATGTGCTCTTTTAGGAAGGTTGAAGACCGGTCGTGCTGCTGCATTTTGTATCAACTGCAGGGGTTTGATAGAGCATATAGGTAGACTTGCCAGTAGAGAGTTAAATAACACACAACGGGAAGAACTTAACTTGACAAATTGAAAAACCAAAGCAACACTAAATATTAAACTAAACAAGAATAACTGATGACAGTGATCGAGTGTGTCAGGCAGCTGCCCAAACAATGGACATGTTGATTGAGCCGAGTCATCGTTCCCAGATGCTTGACACGGTTTTATTTACTTGGAACTTGCATAAGAAGGTAAAAGAGACCACAGAGGTTTCAACCAGAGAACATTGCTCATTTATAAACATGCATAACACGAGCTGTCAACAACTTCCTGTCAAGCAAATAACATTATGTCATACAATGTTAACAGCTGTTTGTTCTAACTCCTTCAGCAGCAAACACAAAGGAAACATGATGTTGTTAGGGCCTTAAAGAGGAGGACAGGGTGTTTCAAGGGTTTGTTAGTGCACAGAGGGAGAAATTATATTCAAACAAAGTTTGGTTGGTTGGTCCAACACTTTGGTCCAGTTTGCAATAACTGTTAGATCTTTCATCATCAGACTAAAGCTTTTAGTCCTTTTTGTTGTTTTAGTTCAACAAAGAGCCAGAATCAATGTTTTAATGTCATCAAAATGAGTCATGCACAAATGTTTTGAACGTTAGGCCCCAGAGTGTGCTGGAGACAATTTGAGTCTCTGTTTGTTTTTTTAGAACTTTCTCCTGGTGGTTTAATTGTTGGATCTCTGAATTTAATATATCGGAGAGAATGGTTTAGGCCTTCTCTGTGGCTTGAGATCACAATTGTTACGGAGCCCCTGAAGTCCCAAAAAGTAAAACAAATTAACTTGTGCGCACAAGAAATGGGACTTCAGGGGATCCATAAAATTGTTAAGAATTTGAGCTATACAAATTTGAATTGACTGAAATAGATTGATCTTATTTTTTTTCTCAATTTGCCATCATTTGAGAGGTTAATTTGATTTGCAGGAAAGTCACCTTACATAGATGCCTGGAGATGCCTGGTGGGTTTGGATTTTGTGGACATTGTGGTGAAGATTATTGGACTCTGTGGAGAGCTGCCATATATGCATGGGCAATTGCATAAACAATACTAAATGACAGAAATGGAAGAGGACTATTGGCTTCTGTTCAGAGATAGCCTGGAGAAACCAGAAAACTGAATCCATAGTGTATATAGAAAGTATGAAAACTTTGTGTTCTGTGACTTGGTGCAAAAAAAAACAACTGCAGCTCTGTGTTCCTGTATAGGCCTGTTTCTGATCCTGCCCGTTCAGATGACCCAGACACCAGCCAGCATGTGCACGCCGCTGAAGACACTCAACAACAGCCTCAGCCACAGGCGACGCTACATGGTGAGAGGATGTCTATTGTCCACAAAAAAGTACCAGCAACATTTCTTTGATGTTTGTAATGTATTTATAAAAAAGTGTGTGTCCTCTTGAGAGACAATTTAAAGGTTGCTGTGATATACTGAGTTCAGGTTTCTAGTTTAGGATATTCAACTGACTTTGATTCTCACCGTCTGGTAGATCCACACATTTGACAAAACTCTGTCATCATAGGACACAACATGTTAATGCTGCCTCATGTGATATAGAACAGTGAATTGTTTGACTGTAGTCGTTCTGAAGTAAATGTAACTTTTCAGTACATGACCATAAGCAATGTCTCATATGAACTACTGATTCATGAAATGTCTTTTTGTCTCTTTTTCTTTTTCTTTTGTGTTACAGAAGCACAACTTCCCCATCAACTACACTATCAGGGTCCATCATAACGAAATCTTTAAAGTTTCAAGCATCAGCAAAATGGTAAGATTTACAGCTCTCTTTAAACATCTACTGGATGAAGCTTACTATGTGCCTTTAAGTCTCTCAGGTCTCTCAGTAAGTTGACATGCAGTGAGACGTTCATTTATTGTATGAGCGTGACTAAAACTGGTGTGCCGCCCCCCTAATATAATGGTAGGGGAAACACTGTATGTATGAAATGTACAAAGAGGTATAGTTGTCACTGTTCACTATTCAACCGAAAATCTGTCAATCTCCTCTCCTCTCCTCTCCTCTCCTCTCCTCTCCTCCCCTCCTGTCCTCTCCTCTCCTCCCCTCTCCTCCCCTCTTATCTCCTCCCCTCCTCTCTCCTCTCCTCTCCTCCCCTCTTCTCTTCTCTTCTCCCCTCCTCTCCTCTCTTCTCCTCTACTCTCCTCCTCCCCTCTCCTCTCCTCCCCTCTCCTCCCCTCTCCTCTCCTCTCCTCTCCTCTCCTCCCCTCTCCTCTCCTCCCCTCTCCTCTCCTCAAACTATCAGAAGTCATATGTGGAGGGGTTGGAAGATCTGGTTCTCCAGAGGCTTTGGTTCCAGGTCAACCAAGGCGTGTTAAAAAAGGTAAGAACATCCCCCCTTTTTATACCTCTGCAACCAAACTGTCGTAATGATTGAAACAAGATTTTTCCTTTATTTCTTTCAATATCTCGTCTCTAAGGTACACTCATGTTATTTGACTTCATTTTCAAATTTTAACTGAAGGAAATTGGTTGAAAAGTAACCACTTAATAAAAACAGTAGCACCAATTTGACATACCAAGAAGAAAAACAGAATTTAGGCACACTGTCCACCAATCCCAGCAGTCACTCACCATGTGGTTTCAAAGTTAAACATTTTGTCCTAACAGGGTTTTGGATTTCACCAAAAGTTAAGAAGGGACATTGTTTGTGTCGGTAAAACAAACATGTGGTTTCCACGGCCGATCTTTTCACTCACAGATGCTATAAATGGAGTATTTAAGTTATTTAGGGGTTTAAACTGTTCACAGACAATACGAATCATCTGAGGGTTTAGTGGTTGACCTGGTATGTGATCGCAGACACAGTTGTAATCTGACTTTAGAATGGCAGCACCAGTGCTATAACGCATGGGGGGCAAATTCCCCCAACCAAACTGAAGACACACATTTCCAAAGTAGTCTTAGGTCCCATATTATGCTTTTTCTGGTTTTATATGCCCTTTAGTGTGTTTTCCAAGTGCCCTGTGCTTGTTTAGGCACATCTATGTGCAAAAATTAAAAGTCCACGGAAACGCGGCTTCTCCTATGTCCTCCTGTTAGCTGCAGCATTAGCTGCATGTAATGCTCGGTTCTAGTCCCCCTCGATAAAAATTTGTCAGTGTGCGTCATTGTCAAGTGTGATATCACTGATCTAAGCCCATTGGCTCGTTGTGGCAAGCCCTGCAGCTCATGTTGAAATTTCCGAGAAGTGTGCTGAGCAACTGACCAATAACAACAGAACGGATCGGCAGACCAATCAGAGCAGACTTGGCCCACGTGGGGTCTAACAGTGTGGGCTCAACAGAGTGTAGCTGATGGACTCAAGGAGGAGCAGTACATGAAAACAGATACTTTTTTCAGACTTTAGCTATTGTGAACGTACAAAAGTAGGTACATAGATTAAATATACGAACCCCAAAAAGGGCAGAATATGGGCTCTTTAAAGAAAGATATCGGTGTATAAATGCAGAATGTCTGGGAGAGGGGACCAGATTTTGTGGTCAGCAGTGGTCTGGTTTCTGTATGCAGTCTACTGTATGTATTGTCTGCTGGTGTTAAGGGGGGGGGGGTTGTATGCAGGATACCCGTCCATGTGGTGAGGAAAGGAGGAGGAACATATTGGCCTTAATCCAATCATGACACCATCAGCTAACATCAAATTATGATTTAGCTTCTCATTTATCTGAACAGATATATGCACATACAGAAAGTGCAGATAGCAATCCTGTCTTCAAACAATTCTCATGACTCGAGTTGCTGCTGGCACTCAAGACATTTTCAAACATGTGCTCCTGAAAAATTCTAGATAATAGACGGACTGCACCTTAAATCTTCCTGAGCTGCCTGTTCACATACACCTCACAGCGGGAGATTTTCCCTGACGGATGTTGGGGTGGGGGTTGGGTTAAATCACTTTTACACTCTGTTGTTGTCTCTTCTTCTTCTTCTTCTTCTAATGCTGTGTGAGCTGTGGGGAAATCCCTTAGTCTGCAGTAATTGTCAGTAAATCAAAGCTATAGAGCTCAACCTCAGCCAGTATGGAGTTACAACTGTTTAACTTCACAACCAAGAGACAAGCAGAAGGAAAAAAAACAAGTACACAGTCGTCTTCTATAAAACAAAAGTGGATGCCCTGCACAGCACTGTCAGTCCTAATATCCAGTCCAGCTGCTGCAATAAATATTTCAAACATGCAAACGTGAGTCATCCATAAGACATCCATAAGTATGAAACATTACCAAGTATGACATGGAGGTATAATTAAGGCAGATGTCTGTAAGGCCCCCAATCTCCACACTCATGTGCATCTGGCAGTATGACACAGTGCAGCCTGCAGACTAAACACAGATCGATCATAAAGACCACAGTACAGCCAAGATCTCAGAGTATCAGCCTCTTGGGAAGTCTTGTGAATCATTGATTGAAGGATTCCACTCATAATTTTCTGCATTTACTTTCAGCTGCTTAGAGTAAACATGTTTTCTTTTTGTGTGGAGATGTTTGTTGAAGTAACTAAGGAGCCAGCCGTCTCTCTTCCTTCTAAGACCCCATTCAACAGTCCAGTACAACAGATATTTGAAAGACTGTAAACCACTGCAATCATATGAAGCTGTTTATCATACAGCTGAAAAAGTGCCCACAGTACAACCCTATTATGGGTGTTAGAATGTGATTTTCAAGATAGTGAAATCCCAAATATAATCAGAGATAGCACAAAGACAACATATCAAATGGAAACTGAGAAATGTAAAATTGTTTTTGATATCCATTAGGAATTTAATGCCAGCAACAGTTTAAACATGTTTTTTACTTGATGTAGGACTTCAGCTGCTCAACACTTCAGGGTCTCTGTTGGAATATTTTACATTTCACAGAAAGACAGCCTTACTGGGATGCTCTTTTTATACCCAATCTACGGAGACCCTGAAGTCCCAAAAAGTAAAACAAAAATAATAATAATAATAATAATAGTGTGTGCACAAGATAATTATGTTGCAGTATAAGATTTTAACTTGTGGGCACAATTATCTTGTTCCCACAAGTTATTATGTAAGAGATTTTGGGACTTCAGGGGCTCTGTACCAATCAACCTGTTGCTAGTTAACCTTTACTGTTACTGTTCCATCAGACATTTTTTAAGCATTTGCAAACTTTTCCAGTCTTTTGAGTCCACTGTTTTTCTAAGGGCATCATCAATATCAAATTCAAAAGAGGGATGTAAGAAGTTTCAACAATTGTTTTCTTTGTGCTATTATTATTTGAACATGGTGTTTTGCAAATCATCATGATCTATTTAAATCTATCTATTTAAATGTTAATTGTGGAGGTAGATATACACACATAACGTAGGTGCAGGGCAGTGCAAAATCAGCTGACTGAGGAAGAAGAAACACACATCTTCTTCAGGCGATCACTTTTGAACAAAGGACAGGGGTCATACCCAGATATATAGATTTCAACACCAATAGGCTGATAGGCACTATGATGGCAGGACAAATATTCAAAATGTCCCAAGGTGAAACACATCTATAGTGATCACCTTTCAAATATAACACAAAATACAAGGTTTAACATACAAAGGCTATGACAATGTGTATTTTGACTTGGTATGTTTAATCTTGTATTTTTCCTGGTGTTGAATGAAGAAGATACTTGAGCCTGTGGTTAGTTGTTCGAAACTAAATACAAATTCAACTTGCAGATCATCCGGGTTTTGCCGGAGAGACATCCTTCGCGTCCATACACCGCCGAGCTGGAGAGACGCTTCAGGGATTTAGAGGGAGTCTTTGTACAGTCGCATCCTGCTGAGGTAAGATAAAGCTCTGTCAAGGTGTGGTATCATGTAAGGTGCTGAACCCAAGGGCAGATAAACAAAAAGGATGTATTCAAACAAAGAGGCCGATAGCTTAAACAATTACTTTCTCATGAAGGAGGCCAAAATCAAGCAGTCAACAAAAGGTTAAAAAAAGTCCAACGAAACACAGGAGAGAATCTCCAGAAGCCGTGAAGTAGAAAAAACTAACAAAGACAACTCTGGCAGGTAACCTATCTACAGGCTGAGAGCTTGAGCTGAGGCGGGTTTTAATCCTCTAGACAAACTGTTACATCACGCCTGACTGTCAATCAGGTCAGCTATGCACCATATTGTGAATGTATGGGTGACACATTTATATAGGGCAGTCAGGTAGCACAGTGAAGGCTAGTTAGTCACTGTTTGTGCATGTAACCGGCAGCCTCTGGATCAAAGCCTATACATTGCTATGTCGTTGTCCGCCTGGTTCATTTTGGGGTTTTACAAACATTACAATGCTTATCCTGCTTAAAATTTAAACTGATGAGTTGTCAAAAAATTCATCCCCCGTACAGCGTGTGTTGATCAAGACATGAACTAATCAGACCGATTTAGTTTTTCAAACCAGGTTGTAAACTTGTTCATTTCTGCTGTAAAAACAGGTTTTTTAGAATGGGTGTGTATGTGACTTCTGCTGCCTATGCAGCAAGCCTCAAGTGGACACTCAAGGAACTGCAGGATCTTGCACTTCCGTATCGATTGGGTGGGGCACACAATCACAGAGGCGAGGAAACACAAAGGCAGGAAGCAAAACTAGACATAAGAAACTAAAAAAAAACTACAAAATAAAACAGGAAACATTAAAAGTAAACTTGGACTTATTATAATTAAAGTACACACATTGGGAGTGAGAAACAAAAGGATAGCAGCATAATAACTTGGCTAATCATATTAAAACACTGAATTAAATTTAATACAGAAAAAAACAAGAACAAATCATGACAAGCTCACAAATTTGTAGTAATTCATCAATGAAGCCGTTCAGTTAGAGAGGAATTTCCCTGTCACTGTAAAGGTCAGAGACGGGGGTCACATTGATCCTATTTATTCATATAAAAACCATTATCATAACAAAGTTGAAAATGGCTATGATTTACAATCCAACAAGAGTTAAGTGACAGTCTATTCAATACACTCATTGATCAATCAGTGCTGTGCTTATAGGGGATTTCTTGATGCAATGGGTAGCAGGTCAGCTTGCCTAATTCAATTTGTCTAGTATGGTTCCTCATTTGTGTTGGTATTTTATCTCAAATCAAACATTTCAGTTTGACTTTGAGTCCTCGTTGACCTTTGTGCTGCAGGATGGAGGCTCAGCGACAGCAGCATTTCTTCTCCACTTTATGAATGTCAGACCTTTGGGATTATTAAACGTCTGTATCAGGCATATTTCACACAAAACTCTCTGGCCTTGTGACACTGGTCCTGGACTCATCACAGCGCGGTCAAATGCAGTGTTCTCTAAAAAAAAAAAAAAATCACAGCTAATTATTCCCACAATATGCCATTAGTCTACAAGCTATTTGCTTGACAAGTCTGGATAAAAATCTAATTTCAAGTTACTTAAAGAGGACATATTTCCCCCTTCTCTACCTTTTCTAACAGTCCTCTGTGGTCTAAATGAAACATCTGTGCTGTGCTTTGGTCAAAATATAACATGAATCAAGCACCAGAGGAGGTTTGTGACCCTGTATAATCTAGCTCTCTCAGAACGCTCCGTTTTGGTGTGTGTGTCTCTTTAAATGTAATGACCCCCCCAAGTTTTCCCCGTAGACATCATTCCTCTGTAGCGAGAATAAAAATGGCTGACCTGCACGAAAGTTTTGTTCTAGTCTGGGGGTGGAGTCCATGGGTGGAGATACCAGGGGAGGGGAGGGTATTTATTTACCAGAATCCCACTGTGACATCACAAGGAGAGCACATTTGAAACAGAGCATTTTCCTCTGTGTTGTAAGACTTATACAAACCACAAACAAAGGACTAGATGTGTTTATTTCACATTTTGTGGGTCAGTAGACACTCAGGTTACCCAAATATATGTTCAAAAACACTGTCAAAGTGATTTTTCACAATATTTCCTCTTTAAAGCTAAAAAATAAGGACTCAAAAAATCTACCAGTGTTTTGAATTGAAATATCTTTAACAAAATAAGTACATGTCATTTCAAGACACTTAGCAGGTAGAATTTGCCTGCCCTATTGGCAGATTTTATTTTATTACAAGCAATTACAATAAAGAGTTATGATGTATTTTTTACAAATACATTTGAGTTGTTCTGCAGTGTTTTATTGCATAATCTGGGTTGAAATGCATGTGAAGGTGAGAAGTTTACTTAAGTAAAACTTCTTCACCCTCTGTTTGATTTCTTCAGACGTAGGTGGTAGAAAGATGAAAGAGGTGAGTTTTCATGCTGTTGACAGTGAACGAGGTTTTGATGCTGCGTCTCACCGCTGTTGATTTATTTCTTATGAGAAACTTTTGAATGCAAAGCAGCTCATGCTTCCATATCCATTTTCTCCCTAATATATAGCCAACTCAGCTGTCTCTCACCCCCACATGTGTTTCTGTGTGTGTGTTTTGGCTTGTGTAGGTGTTCCAGCAGGAGCTTCCAGAGACTATCCAGGACACTTGGGATCGTTTGACAGAAGAGCCCGACAGAGTGCCGCCGTCCAGCTGGAGATCTGCTTCTCCCAAATCACTTCTGGACAACCTGTGCCACACCATGCACTGCCTGTTCAGCGAGTGCTTTGACAGCACAGAAGCACAGCGTGACTGTGAGTATAACAGCGGGTGATTAGTGTTACCTGCAGTGACATTACAGACTCTAAGTAAAAACAGTTTCTGCTTTCTTTGTCTTGACAGTATAACTAGTACAGTGTTAAAAGAGACAACAGCACAGGAGTTGTGAGGCAAAGACTAAAAACATTAAAAAGCCAGTTCTAATAAACATATTACTCTATGATGATAGCAATTAGCTTGCCAAAGCTCCCCAGGCGGGGCATGCCAGTATGCTGGAGTTATGATGTCAAAGGATCCATCAACATTTGTTTTTCATCTTTGTGTTGGATAAGCCAGGGAGCACAGTGATCTTTAAACGTATCAGGTGCTTCTATCGGGCCCAGTGTTTCCCGCACATTGACGATACTTGGGCGGGCCGCCAAGGTACATTTATAGCTGCAGTCTGCATCTGATCGTTGTGTTTCTTGTGATACCCATCATCACCAAACATACTGAAAAACACACACTCACATATTTATTCTATAAAATGAAGATCAATAGAAAAACCAAAACGGCCTTTTTATGAACTGTTCCATGAAAGCATTGGTTTACAGTCCCAATTTATCAACCTTGAGCCAATAATATTAATTACATTGGAAATTTCATTTTGATATCCTTCAGCGGCATTCTGTCTTTGTATCATAATAACTCATTTTTATTTTTATTTTTATTTTTTATTATTATTATCTTTTACCAAGTTGATCTGTACGCTGCATGCACAATCATGCAGATGCTGTAAAGTTTAAAAAAAATGTAGTCCCAGAGGAAAGTAGTCATGAGGCTGTAAAGTAAGATCTCTGGCTCAAGTTAAAACTTGTGGGCAGTCATTCCACGACTGAAGTTTCCTGCATGTTTTGTATAAAAGCCTCACTACACATCGACAAAATCATGAACAAGGTCTCAATCAACTGACCTGACCTGGACTTAGATAAATACACATGGACTGAAGAGACGTTCATGCTTAATTTTAATCAAGAAGCATAGAACATTTTTAATTGAATAATAACAGGGTGTTAAAAACATTGCATAATGCATTTAATACGAGAAATGAACCAGAACATCGAAATGTAAAGGTTTGAGGTGTTATTAAACTGTCCCGGCCACAAGTTCATGACAAGGTAATCCATCAAAGTTACTGTGTGACATCATTCAGGGCTGTTCACTGTGGTACTGCATGTGTTTAGATGATCATTAACTGCTCAGCTTAAAGGGGCCTAGAATGATTGTTTGAAAACGTTACATTTTTCTCCTTTGTAGTCGTAAAAACTCAACGTTTTGTAAACAGCCAGTGAAAGGTGGAAGATACAACAGGAGAAATAAAACATCGACTCTTGTTGACTTGATGTCTTCATTACAACACAAATGTGATACAGGCAAGATGTTGGTAATCAGTTTTAGTTTGTTGGACTTTTTCTTGGCGTTTTAGCCTGGCTTCCCAAAGACTCAAAATCATATTGCAATATTTTCCTGATAAAAAAAATAATCTTGCACAAAAGCTCCTTTAAAATGGTATACACATTTAACAAGTTGTTTAGAAGTGAGCACTACAGATACGGAAAGATGGACCTTCGACGGAGCCAGACAAGGCCCCCCCCCCCGTCTCAACTTTTACAACAGAGGTTTAAAATGTCAAAATTGAAGCTGCTCTCAATCGTCATGCTAAGCTATGCCAACCAGTTACTGGCAGCAGCCTTATATTAAGCATACAAAGAACTGGAGTGATGCCCATCTTTCATTTTTCTCGATGCAAGAAATCCAAAAAGTGCATTTTCCAAAATGCTGAAATATTTCTTCTCAGAATGATTCTGCAGAATTCACAAATATGACCCTTATCTGCATTGCAGAGTGTCTTTCAAAACCTTTATTTCCACTTGACCCTGCGTTCATCTGGCATGACCAAATACAGTACATAACGTGTTGGCAGATAAAACAATCTGCGATAAAAATTTACGCAACCCTGTTCCAAGAAGTTTCTCTGCATTGAGCGATACATATTTCAAGTTAAACATGCAGCTGAAGTAGTCCAAGTGTCTGTGGTTTGTGGTCTGTGGTTTTTTATCAAACAATACAGTGCAGTTTAAAATGAACAGCTGCAACCACTTCCTACATGACAGTGAGGTGTCTCTGATCCCAGGTGTGCTTTGCTTCTCAAAATGTGTCAGTAACACTCTCCCAACTCTCAGTGGGTGACAAATGACAGTTTGGTGTTTAATGCAGTTCCCCTTCTCCTCTTTTTTTATTTTCCACAGACTGTGTTGTCTCCCATCGGAGGAAAGGCAGGAAGAAAGAGCTGGAGCTCAGGAGTTGAGAAGAAGCCAGCAAGGTGAAGTTGTCCCTGTTGATACGGATAAGGGACTGGTATCTTAATCTCTTGAGATAAGGGGAGAAGAGGAAAAGGTCAATTCAGACTGAAACAAGACAGTTCAGTCCTGATTTGTGAACATTACTATGGCTTAACCTAATCTGTTAAACAGAGTTACTGTCGTCCAGACATTGTGATAAAAGGCACAAACTTAGAGGACTGAAATTGTCGACTCAGCTGAAGGATTTCATGACATTTTGAAATAAATGAAGTAACACTCAAGCTCCAGAAAACTTCCACTTCTCACTCAGTCAGATGTTCAACGTATTCGATTGATGAATGCATCTCAGATTGATGCTGAAAATCTTTCCAAATTAGTTTATGTTCACATATATAGGATCAAGAAACTGTATAGAGGTAGATACTTTAAAGAAGGAGGGTGTGGCCTGAACGTGCTCCTTCCACATTGGAAGGAGGTTAACTTCACCTGGAGTGAGGACATCAGCGTGGCTTTGTTAAATCTGATCTGATGTGCTCCTGGTTTACCTGCATGGTTAATCTCAGAGACCACGAGGAAGAAAACACGAGAGCTGACACAAAGGACTGATGTTGTAATGTTTTAGCTGACTACAGCCAGACTCGCCATCATGAACAGATCTTTAAAAGTGAAATGAAGAATGAAGAAGAAAGATGTAACTGAACTGAACTTCATACTTAAAGGCAAACTGATAACTACTGGTGTCTCTTCCCTTCTCAGTTGTTGACTGTACATTTAGTACCCAAAGACTGCATTTAAGGCAGTGAGTCCCAAAGTGGGGTGGGGGGGAAGCAAGGCTTCAAAGAAATCAATGCACACCGTTTTTCACTACAAGCGAAGCTTAGCAATCTAAGGATGAAAATGTGTAAGTGAAATGTTACAGTATCACTTTTAAAATTGCTCCCTCTGTAAAAGTGGCTTGTTGATTGTTTTCAGTTGTCACACACTGAAGTTGCGATCCTGAACTTTTTGCAGCAAATGTTTGAGATAAATTCTGAAAAATATATGAATTTTGTTAGCAAAGACTGTGACTCACAGTGTGTTTAGTGTACGTCCACAGACGTTGATGTGTACAGTGGGGGGGGGGGCTTGAAATGATTTCATCTGCCAAAGGAGGGTACTGCAGAAAAGGTTTAGGAACCACTGATTTAAGGGTGTTATTTTTAAAGTCTGTGCTGTACACCCAGATGCAATATAGACTGAGGCCCATTCAAAACCTTGTTATCTTTGTTATTTCTAATTTCATGTATTTTATTTTATATATTTATCATGCACAAAGAGTAAGCATTGAGCTCCAAACAATGGGTATAGTTCTATCTATTACTGCACAATCTACACATTTCTGAATCAACCATGGGCCTATTTTATCTTAACCCATCCTCAAAGGAATTTTATATCCACAAAGGAATATGTTAATGTCTCTATTTCATGTGTAAAGTTTATAGAGCCACCTTCAACAATCACATCACACTCAGAATTTGCCCCCAAAAGCACCAAATCAAGATCAAATTCAAATTTCAATAGTCTTCTGTGTATTGATAGTTACAAGGAAAAACACAGTTCCTGAAAATGTGTGAGATGACACCTTTTTGTCTGATTTAAAAGTCATACACGGCTGGTCGCCCTTTTCAGAATTTCAGCTTCTGAAATATCAAATTTAATGTAATCAAAGCAGTAAACTGGTAACCTATGTCTAAACTCCACACAGCAAAAGAGACAAAAAAAAAGTTTGTAACAATTCTTTTCAAACTACCAATCTTTAACATGTTTGACTCCAACAAACTCTGACAGAGATGATACTTTTCTAACTTTTTTCTGTCTGTGACAGCCCCTCAGGATACTTCAGTTTATCATTTTATTTTACTTCTCTTTGTTATTCTGCTCAAGGTTATCTGGTGGCTGTTCAATGAAATCCCTCATCCCTTTTCCTAGACTGACCAGAACTAGGAAAAGGGACCACATTACTCCTGTGTTGGCTTCTCTGCACTGGCTCCTTATACAGTCTAGAATAGAATTCAAGATCCTTCTTCTCAATTACAAAGCTCTAAATGGCCAGGCACCATCGTATCTTAAGGAGCTACTAGTGCCGTACTGTCCCTCGAGAGCATTGCAGTCCCGGAGTGCAGGCCTGCTGGTGGTACCTACAGTCTCTAAGTGTACTATAGGGGGTAAAGCCTTCAGTTATCGGGCTCCTCTCCTCTGGAACCGCCTTCCAGCCGGGGTCCAGGAGGCAGACACAGTCTGTATTTTTAAGAATAGACTTAAAACTTTCCTTTTTGATATAGTTAGTGCTGGTGTAGACCAGCTCTTAGTTATGCTGCTATAGGCTTAGACTACCGGGGGAACTGGCACCTTGAGCTCCTCTCTCTCTCTCTCTCTCTCTCTCTCTCTCTCTCTCTCTCTCTCTCTCTCTCTCTCTCTCTCTCTCTCTCTCTCTCTCTCTCTCTCTCTCTCTCTCTCTCTCTCTCTCTCTCTCTCTCTCTCTTTCTGCCTTTTAATAAGGCAGTTTTTTCTTACCACTGTAACTTTTGCTGCTTTGCTAAAGTGCTCATGATGGATAGGCCGGGTCTTTGTAATATAGCAATAAGTAAGGTCTTTACCTGCTTTTTGTTACATAACAATGAGTAAGGTCTTTTTACCTGCTCTTTTGTAAAGTGTCTTGAGATAACACTTGTTATGAGTTGACGCTATACAAAATAAATTGAATTGAATTGAATTGAATTGAAATGTATTAAGATGTCAGGATATGTAGAATTCATAAAGCTAAATGAAGAGATTAATTTGTTAGGCATTGTAAGACTCAGCCTATAAAGGAACAAAAAAATCAGTGAAAAAAATGCACAATGAGGGTCTGTCAACATTTCTTACATAGAAACAAGTTCTCATTACTCAAGCTTATGCACAAACACGCGTCTATGAAGGAAACCTCGGGAGACACAGATTCATCAAACATTGGACTGAAATTGAAAACATTCTATCACAATCACTAAAAAACTGCATAAGGCATGAGAAGGTACTATGTGTGTAGAGGATCCTCACGCACGATTTAGTATAGTTTTTTGATTTTATGCTGCTCTGGGTGTGTAGATTTTATCTTCCATTTACAGACTTAGACTGAGTGAAGTAAGTAGCCTAACTGTGCCTACCAGGCTGAAATGTTTTCCCATTTATTACCATAAAAGCAGCCAAATCTACTTGGACTGGAGCCACATGTCAAAAGTTCACACATTTAAGATATATTGTAAGACAAAGTACCAGTTACATTTAGCACACAATGTGCCGGAGATAAGCCAAATCAATGACTTTGCTAACTTTAAAGGGCTAATATGAATCTTGGACACCTAGTGTTTAAAATGGGTACTGCAGTCCAAGTTCACAACATCAGAGAGAGCTGTCTCCCCCCACCCCTCCACCCTAGAGTCGATGCTCACGCAGGTTGCCATGTGGTGGACACTGAAGCTTCAGCATTTAGCCAGCTCGGCATCCGTCTTGAAACCTCTCTGTGTTTTAACCTTTCTCCGTTTTTCAAAAGCATCTCCAATATCGATTCTAGTTTGAGCACGTTTCTGCTCGTGGATCTTATTAGAAAAATACTTTTTATGTTGGGTAGAATCTGAACCAGTTTGCTTGCCCGCTCCCATGGGTGCAACACCTGTTGGTTTGCCGTGATAACTGCTCTCTTGTCTGGTCAAGCCTGACTGAAGTTTCTCATTATATCATTTTTATTCCTGATTTATAGGTTTTCTTCTTGAGTTTTCAAAGTCAAAACATTTAAAGTGAAACCATTTATAAACAAGGAAATAAACCAATCAAATATCCAAGATAGCACTCCAGAAATGTAAGCATGCATCACATGATTTACTATCGACCACACAACTTGATGGATGGTTTCCCTTTCTACGTTTCAGAGATTTATACCATATACTTCTAGTTAAGACTCCCAGGACTGCACTACGTATACTTTTCAAAGTCTACTGTGTGTGAATGTTACAGTTTACAGCTGATGCATGTTGAAGCCTCCACAGCCTTATTGTGTAACCCTTTTTGATGATGTTCAATCACTTTGTTGTACATGTGATGGGTCTGAGGCTTTGATGAAATGTCTAAGATAAACGTGGTCCTCATGAGAAACTCTGTAAGGATTGAACGGAAGAACAATAACTATTGTTGTGTAATGCTTTCAATGAAATCAGTGTACTTTTGTTAATCAATCATATATAACCGTATGATTGTCTTTTATAACCACAAGAGCATTTAAAGGTGTAATCAAAGATCCTTTATTGTAACAATAACTCAATACTTCCCACACCTGCCTTACCAAAACAGAGAGATTATGACTAAAAACACACAATGGTTTGTTGTCTCTGGTCTTTAGAAATAGATTTTTTTATACACAAGATATAAGATTTATTTATTTTTTGGAATGTATGCCGTTTGACAGTACTTTTATGAAAGAAATACAAATTAAATAGTTATTTTTATCAACTAACCTTGTGTCAAGAGTCCATTTCATATTAAAGATATTTTCTAAACTGCTATTTTAATACAATTTGTCTTCTTGCACAATTTATGCATGTGTGACAAACATTTGTTGGCCATGTCTTTTACTCCAAATTCGTTTTGTAAAGACAACTGTGTTACATAATGGTATATGATGAATACAATTACAATCAATTTGGCATTTTTTACCGATACACACTATTGGATTGGATGTGAGGACAATGGAAGTTAAAGGGATATTTAGGTTTTTGAAGCTAGGTTGTATGAAGTGCATTAAAAGTGAATGTATTAAATACTGTAAATAACAATCAGGCCTTGTATGGAGAAGCCACAGTTGATAAAAGAAAGGTTTCTGGTGATCATGTCCACAGCATTACAGAGTTAAGTGTTTCATGTAAGTATTGCAGCAGGCTTCAGTGCTGCAATATCTTTCTAGGCTGCATAAACACACTTGAATTAAAATGGAGACACCAGAAATAAATGTTGAAGTGGAAGAGGGTCAAAATGACTAAGTACGTTGATGAAATTTTTTCCTGTAATGTGTGAAATGAAAGTATAGTATTCTGCTTTTATACAGAAAAAAACACTGACGTGTATAGAAGAGTAAATTCAAGTTTTGGTTTATTGATAAGCTGTTTGAGTAACTTAGTCCAAAACAGGAACCCCATGCAACCTCACATCAAAAAATTGAAACTACCTCTTTAAGCACATTTTGTAAAGAGGCAACACAAGACTTGTTAAAAAATCATTAACTCGAGCAAATGCAGGTTAATTATTAAAAACAAACTGCAGAATGTGGCCTATTCTCAAAGTTAAACAAAGGTACGCAAACAGCACACAACAGGTATTGAAAAACTTGTGTGTTGTGTTATTGCCCACAATTAAGAAAATATATTAAAGATGCTGTGTCTTAAAAAAGATTGGGGGGAAAAAGACAACCTAATAGGCTTCTTTCACTTTTTTTCTGTAATGCAAACATGCACGGTTTGATCTTCTTTACTTGCCGTAGCTCGTCCAGCGAAACAGGAAGTCAAGAAAGTACGGGCTCAGATGAAAATTCAAAAAGCTATTTTAGGTGAAAATAGTGATGCTACGGTGTTTAAAACAATGCTAATAATATATTAATTTGAGGAACATTATCTTTGGACAAGTATACTCACGATATTATTTCCAACTTGGACTTAATACTATGCTCGGGTCGCTAATAAGAGTTTTATTTTGAAATACCAGCCGGAAATGTAGTGTGTAAAAATAGAGATGTGCTTCAAACGGAGCTGGGAGTAAAACAAATTGCTACCTGGCGTTTGAAGACATCGGACAATGTCCTCCGGTGCTGGAATTCAGATACCGAGCCGTCTCCCCTTGCTGCTGTCCCATGAAGGTGTGCTACTTCCGGGCTCCACCGTCAGGTTCAGCGTGGACTGTCCGCGGAACATGCACCTGGTCAGCCAGCGGCTGCTGAAGGGGACCTCACTGAAGAGCACCATCATAGGAGTGATTCCCAACACCAGAGACCCAGAGCACGACACCGACGACCTTCCCACGCTGCACAAGTAATAAACAGTCAGTAATGTAGCTGAACAGAGAAACAGTCTACTCACCCCCTCGGCTTGATGCTGTGTTGTTGGTTTTGTTGTTACAAACCAGCTGGCAGGACAGGAAGTCCAAAGGGGGTCGGGACCCCTCCCAAGCTGTCACTACTAGACAAACTACAGAGATAATAATGACAGGATAATGATAAATCATGACTTTACTGCACACTTATCATTCTTATGTATCAGATTTTACTCTAAAGTTTGAACCGGGGATAACAACATTTGAAACTTTGATACGATAACAGTAAAAAAGCAAAAACAATATAAAACGATATCAATACTACGGCTACAGAAATTAGAAGTCCTAGACAACAAATATTGGGTAATTTCTTATTTTAAATTTAAAAAAAATTGTAGGCAAACTTTCGTAAGTACACAATGTTCGTGTTTATTTCATGTGCAGGAGTTTGCCTGCAGTCATTGATGGACTCATTCCTCTCCTACACCTGTCAAAAAGATGTCGTTTTTTAAGCTTGATACTTTTGAATAATTAAAATAACAGATATTCATCATTCCAGACTTGTTGTGTAACAAAGTATTGTATATTTTGACAACCTTAATCAGAACATTTACACATCTTGAGAATGGAAATCGAATGGAAACGTAGCCTTTGGTTATTAAAATATCAATGTACTAGAGCTTTAACGTTATTTTGAGTCCTGTGCAAGGCCAGACCTTTTAGTGGAAGACACTGATACTCGAAACGAAAGAGTTTCATGGCAAAATATTTAAAGTCAATCAAAAGCTCTTTTTCTTAATTCATGCCATTTAAAAATGACAAACTATATATACCTGGAAATGTTTTGTAGAAGTAGTTTTATGTGTTATGCACAGTTTACATTAGCCTTCTGAGTGCGTTATCTTTTCTAGAAAAGTCTACAGTTTACCTGCCTGAAAAAAACACACATGAGCAACACACTGGGACACAGACTTTAACCTTTCACCTGCAGTTTACCACACCAGTCAGGTTACTACATAAGTAGCTGTTTGTCTATCTGACACAGTTGTTCTAGTTAGCATTGATCAGAGGCAAAGATGGTCAACGATGTGGCTTATAAAACAATAATAGGAAAGACATTTGACTTAGGCAATCACCCTGTCTACGTTGTATAATTGTAGTTCTGCACCAAAGTGCGATGGGTCGAATTCAGAACTCCTGGAATCAGAATATTAATGTTTTATAAAGAAAAGAAAATGATAAGAAATCCCTATCTCTCTCGTCATGGTAGACCACAGTAACGTGGCATGGATGTAGCTTCTGGTTATCCAATCCACTTTTCCTTGAATAAAATACATATGTCTTTGATTTAGAACACACACACACACATGTCTGCATATATCCGTGGCTCGAGCTTCACATTAAATCAATGCGTTGTAAGACAGTAATCAGAAACTTATCCTGTGTGTGTGTGTGTGTCTGTGAGTAAGGCACCATTACAGCTGCTGCTAATTTCTTAACACTCGATCTATTTGCATATTGCACAGTTTCTCTGGTGTTTGTAGAATGTGTCTTGTTAACGTAAACTCTGACAGCTCCTTATTTAAATGTAATTACACTCAGTAAATTACTTCCTGCTTGTTTGCTGCTCAGCTGTTTAGAAATCATCAGACCTGTCACAATAAAAAGTCCTTTGTTCGTGTCACTAGAGAGCTCAGAAGCTTTTCTGACAAATATTGTCTTAATTAAAACATTGAGGCCTCCCACACGGCATGTTTTGGCAAAGCAGGACGCACACATTATATGTAATGAGTCTCTAAAGAGCACAGAACGATCCTTTTAGCTCGTCTACATGGAAGTGTTGCCGGCAGAAGAAAGATGTTGACGCAGAAGAAAGATCTGGATGAAACATTGAAGAGAGCTTGAAAGCTAGTTAGAAAGTGTTGTTATAAAAATGGACATGTGCATCATTTGTTTCACTATCATTAATGATCTGAAACTTTTAAAAGTTTATCTCTTACATCATGTATACTGTCATATGTCATATGTCATACTCTGAGCCTCTTCTTCATTGGCTGTTGGCATTTGAGTTTTTTTTGTTAAAGATTGTATCTGAACAAACTTGACACAGTCCCTGTACATTACGCTGCGTGATGAGATCACCCTCGCCCTCTTGTCTCCCTGCAGAATCGGCACCGCGGGGATAGCGGTGCAGGTGGTGGGCAGCAACTGGCCGAAGCCCCACTACACCCTCCTCATCACCGGATTGTGCCGTTTCAGTGTGACAGGCCTGCTACAGGAGCAGCCCTTTGTCCTGGCAGAGGTATCGACCAATCAATCTTTATTTGTATAGCACCAATTTATAACAAATGTTACCTCAAGACATTTTACAATAGAGCAGGTTAAATACCTTACTCACAAATATTCCAACATAAAGCCATCATTAGCACCAAGCTACATTTAGTGATGTTACAGTGGAGAGGAAAAACTTCCTTTAAGAGGCAGAAACCTCGAGCAGAACCAGACTCATGATGAGACAGACATCTGCAGAATCTGTGTTGGGCTTGGAAAGTGTGATAGAGGGAGAAGTAGGAAGAAGGAGGGTAGAGATGAACAGAGCACCAGCCAGCAGGTAAAACGTCTTTAATATTAAACAACAGTTAAAAGAATATCCCAGAATTCTCTGAATGTCTTCTCATTAAAGGTGCCCTCTGGAGATTGACTTTATACAAACAAAACTGATGAGTTCATTCTTTGTTATTTACCAAGAACATTAAGTGTATCCTTGAGCTCTCACAAATGTGTTAAATGTTTCCCCTTCTCCAAAAACATGTGCTAAGCCAAGTTTGGAAGTGTTTGAAGTCTGTGCATTGTTTACATCTACCATTACTTGTTTGGGTCTTGGAGAGTTATGACCACATGTTGCTCAGGGGAATAGTGTGATACTAGTGACAGGGCAGTGATTCACATCACATGCTAACATATGTGAAAGGACATGTGCGTGCATGGCATGGGCGTTGTTATGGCCCATCAAGGTGTGGCCCGAGAGACAACATGAAAAAAAAAAAGAATTTGCCTGAAGTCCCAGGCAGCCACAGAGACTAACAGTTCATGGTATAACAACAAGGGATTCATTCACAGAAAAGATATTGGTTTGGATCAACACAGGAATTAATCTGGATAAACGTCAGATTGAATCCGGCCATTGAAAGAAAACAATTAAAGCTGAGAGGTAACATGACACCAAAACACAACCAGTGACCTTCCTCACTGATAAAAACAGGAGAAAACAACATTAAACCAACTGGCAGTTCACCCTACATCTCTGAACAACAAATAACCACGCACATGTTCTGAAACAAAGGAGAACATGGTGAGATGGGATTTATATACAAGATAGACCTCTTCATAGATCTGATCACCTACAGAGCTGGAAGTCAATCCACCTCCCTGGACCGGCACACACCTGATGACACAAGAGCAGAAAGAGACAACACACAGACAGCATGGTGCAAAATCAACAAGAAAACACATGTAGTCCTGACATGCACCACATGGATACCCACCCAGAACCAGGCTGCTGGTTTTGTGTCAATAAAACACAACAAACGTTTCTCTCGCTCATTGATCTTCTGTTTGAAGGATCTCCACAAATGATAGCTCACTTTTGTCTTAGTACTGACATTCACAGGGTAACACAAGCTCCAAATGTCATTTTACATCTTTAAATAGGAGGAATTGTTCTTTCTTGGTTTATAAGGGATATAAAGATTCATCGTCAAATCGTGATAAATCGATTCAAAGGTGTCAAGATTCGCATCTGTACTCTGAAAAATTAATTGCAATAATATGGTGAGCGTCAACAGCTGTAGAGCAAGATTTAGAAATTGAGGACACACCACTGTCTTTTAAATCAGGGGTGTAGAAGCATTTTGGCTTCCACACCTCCGATTTGGATCCCTCCAGAAGATAGCTCACTGTTGTGTAAGTATTGACATTCAGAGAGAAACACAAGCTGCAAATGTTATTTTACAACATCTTTAAATAGGAGGAATCATTTGTTTCCTAATTAAGAAGAGAGAAAGACTGCCTGTTGCTTGATGGAGAACCCTTCAGTATACAGTGAGAGTCACCCCACATTAAGAAGTCTTGTGAAGTGTTCCTGTCAACAAAGTAATGTTTGCTTGTGTTCCTGCAAACAACAAGGCTCATTATTCATAAAATCATTCTTTATTGCGCTGCCTGTGGTTTAAACTCTGCAGGGGTTCTTTAAATCTCCTATCTGTGTTATTTTCTGTGAAACGTTCTCTAAGGTTATACAGCTTGGCATGCACCAGTAAGACATGAGTCATCAGTTTTCCAGACAGGAAGACAAATACAAACCTTTACTGTGTTTGACTTCAGCGTGTTCCTCTGTCTGGTTATTAAAAACGCAGGTGGAGCAGTTGGATAAACTGGAGCAGTACACGACCCCAGCATCAGAGGGGGTCACCGCAACAGATGGAGAGCTTGGAGAGCTGTCGCAGAAGTTCTACCATGCTGCAGTTCAGGTCTGTGTGTGTCTGTGTGTGTGTGTGTGTGTGTGTGTGTGTATACTGCATACTTTGTATTAGTTGAAACATCCAAACTGGAAAATAAGAACTTGCAAGGAGGCACTAATCCGTCACAAATTCAAATTTTGAGGCTTGCAGGCAGAACGAGCTGCTGTTAGTTCATCACCAAACCACTGCGAGGAAACTCAGTCTTTTCATGAGAGAGCACACGGAACAGGATGTCAGCCATGGATCCCAAAGACAAACAGAGCACTCACAGTAAAGTTCTGGCTGTGTGCTTGGGAGTGTTTATGTGCTGAGTACGCGCTGCACATCAGTCCTGTCTCCATGACAACAGTCTGTTAACAACGACCGCTGTGTGACCGACACTGCTCCATTGCTTTTAACTGTATGTTTTTTTTTTTTTAATTTGAGATCGTTTATACCCCAGCAGACATGGAGCAAAAAGGATGACGGTACAAGGAGTACCTTGTACCATCATCCTCTTCCGTAGGATCTGTAGGAGGCAAAATTAGAGGGAGTATCTTTTATTTTGAAGAGCGCCGGTGACGTTGACAGCACCTTTCTAAAAAGTTGAAAGATTTCTTGACTCAGCACGAAAAAGACACTGGGCGCTTTCCCTTTTTGTCCGGATGGCAGCCTGCTGCTGCAAACGCTCTCTCCTCACTCCTCACTGGTGGACACTGGGATCCTGTTTATACCGAGTCTTCATCCGTACATCAGTGCTGGTAGAAAGTAGTCAGTGGGTTCATCGCTTAAAAATTCCTTCAAACTGAGTGAACACTTCTGTTATCTTGTCTCATCTCGCCCTTATCTATCTTATCATCTGTAGAGCACATGTGGAGATTTGAAAACCTTAAAATTGTGGGAAAGCTCAGGAATGTTACAATTTATCCTTTTCTTTATAACAAGAAACAGACCACTCTCATCTAAACCCACTCAGCAATAAACATGGGAACGGTCCTGACAGGAACATGCTGTAAGTGATTACACTTAAGTCTGGAAATCTGCCCACAGACACATTCAAAGACCATTAATTAATCTGTTGTAATTTTTCCAAGTGTTTAAAATGACAAATCAAATAGCTGTTTCCATTCTTCATGTTAAGTAAAGCTAACTGATGGCACGCTGAGCAGACAGATGTGAGACTTATTGATCTTCTGACTACAGCCTTCCAGCAAGAATGCCAACGATTCCTTCAGAATAACTTCGGTCCTCTCGTCCCATCCATCTCATCACACTACAGGAACACCTGCAGGCTGCAGTTGTGTAGCATTTTGAAAACCTGTAACTCAAAGTACTCACAAGCTTATTCACCAATTAATCAAATGGCATCAAGATCCTTCTCGTCTGTCTTTAAGGTTCACAATTTACTGTATGCCAGAGGTAGTTCAACTCTCGATGTGAACTCTTGGAAAACACAGGGAAAGAATTCCAGTGTTGAGATTTATCTTTCATTCTTTTTAAACAAGAAGCAGGCAACACTTGTCTCAGCCATTCCAGCAGCAAATGTTGTGATTTAACCTGACAGCAACCTGCTGTGAGGAATAGCATTCAGTAGTGTCAGTAAATCAAATCCCACTGTGTCTCTGTTTGTGTGTGTTTGTCTAGTTGTTGGGTATGTTGGACATGTCTGTTCCAGTGGTGGCCAAGTTCAGGCGTCTGTTGGACAGTCTGCCAAGAGAAACCCTTCCTGATGTGGTTGCCTCCATGATTCGCACCTCAAACAAGGAGAAGCTACAGGTAAAGCGAACTCTAGTACTTTTTAAACCAAAATTCAAACAGAAATGGGATGTGACTGATGCTGAAAGAAAAACCCGTTTATAGCCAAGATTTGTAAGTTTTACTGACTGCAGCATTTTTTTTTAAGTACTCGTGTATTATAACCAAGCAGCACTTCCAGTCAGGAATGCCCACAGAAATGTCTGGGCCCCTGAAAGGTCTAGTGAATGGGCCCTCCCAGGATCTGATTTAAACCAACGTATGAACAATTGATCAGTAGTGTTAGGGCAAGCCTCCTAGCTAACGTTAGCTTCCTATGGGCCCAACAACTTCAGTAACATTACCCAAATAAAAGTTGATATAATTTTAAGAAGAGGGGGTTTACATTTTGAAACAGGCTACATCTTACTGAAGCTACAACAAATACAATTTGTGGGGTTTTTTTTTGGTGTCAAATAAAATGTGGTCATTGCAGTTTAAAATTTGGATGGACCACCATGTTTGTTTTTTTTCTAGCCTCCATGAGCCCTCCTTGTGCGACTGGGCCCCAGAAAGCTTTCCCCCTTTAGCCCCCCTTTCTTCCAGTATTGTAAAGTGAAGCCAATGCAGAAGTGCAAAAACTGCAGTTCCTCAAGTGTCCACTTGAGGCTGGATTCAAAAGCCAAGGAAGTCCCATTAACAACCATAATGTAAAACGCCCATTTTTACCACAAAATGTTAGTACAGCCTAAAAAAAAGTTATAAGTCATATGTTTTAATAACATAACGGCTGAAAGTTTTGCATAAATTTGCATATGCACATGTTTTCCAGGAGGCTTAAAGCCCGCCCTAACTTCAAGTTTTTGCATGTTACTCAATAGGATAAGATGGCATTTCGAACCCAAAGACCGCCATTGTTTTTCTTCATACCAATATGTGACCTCACTCTGCTCTCCCTGTTGTCTTTCTAACATTTCTCCAGACTCTGCACTTTGTATCTTGTTTTTGAAAAGTGATATAAGTAATGGTATTATTACCTCCGTGTCTGTGATCTTTAGATGTATGTTTTGTCTCGTCCTTTGAAGGTCCTGGAAGCTGTGAGCTTGGAGGAGAGATTTAAGAAGACTCTGCCCTTGTTGAACAGGCAGATCGAGGGACTCAAACTGCTGCAGAAAACCAGGAAGAGAGGTCCTGACAATGAGAAGAGGGTAACAAACATCTTCAGTTCTCCATTCCCTTTTCAGCTTTGTTTCTATCAAGAAGCCTTTTCACTCAAATATGAATACAACTGACTCACTTCTCTGTGCCATTCAGGTGCTATCAGTGCGTAAAGGGGGAGTGCTCCCAGGCAGGCAGTTCAATCTGGATGAGGAAGATGAAGATGAGGATGGTAATGACACTGTTACTTTGGAGAGGAAGGTCCACGGGGCCAACATGCCAGAAGCTGCACTTAAAGTTTGTCTCAAGGAGCTCAAGAGGTGAATTTAAGCTCAGATTAAACCTTCTTCTCTTTCTCTCATGCTGCATCAATCCAACTCACTTATCCATGTTCACTATATCACTTAAAGGCAGGGTTGGTAATTTTCTCCAGATCTTTGGTTGAAACTTTCTTAATAGAAATAGAAATTAATAGAAATTAATAACTCATGTTCTCTGAAAAAGGAACAGTGAAAATCTGTCATCTGTAGCAGTTGTAAGTCTATAAAAACTTTGACCAATGTCTTCCATGAGGTACCAATCTGATGAACCAATCACACGCCTCCCTGTCTCCCTGCTCGCTCTCTACCTCTTGCGAGCACTAGTCCACACTCAAAGCGTGTGACAGGTGATGGAACTGTGAGTTTATCGTTGGCCGTTGTGAGTAGTAAAATAGTCAAAACATTTTTTTACATGTATTATGATAATGTTTATTGTGTACAGACATGAGACGAGACAACGTAGTTTCTACACAATGTAGGCGATGAGCTGAGGTCCACTTCTGGAGCGTGGCTTTTGAGGGAGCACAGACGGGAGAGGTCAGGGTGTAGACGTAGCACTGAGAGAATGCTTCTTTCAAAAATCATGCTAGTTTTTGAAAATTACCAACCCTGCCTTTAAATTTGACTGAGATAAAGAAATGCTGTTGTTTCATCAATCAGGTCATGCATGAATAATTTAGATTAAAACAAGCTTGAGTAAAAACACAGCTTAACAATTTCCTGTAAGAGTATTTTTTGATCCATTTAGATTCCTGCTCTGATGTGATTTAACTTGAAAACATAGCAGTTCTTTTGTTTATAAAAAAAAGAATGATTTCACTGATAAGTTCTACTCAACAGTCAGACCGTGTTAAAGCTTATCTGATTAATCTGCGTTCAGATTGAAGAAGATGCCTCAGTCCATGCCGGAGTACGCCCTGACCAGAAACTACTTGGATCTGATGGTGGAGCTGCCATGGAGCAAAAGCACTAAAGGTAAATATGACTTAATGGAGGCCAAGCAGCGATTTAAAAAATGTCAAGATGCATCAGTTATTCATTTGTATGATTCATTTAGATCTGCAATAAAAATATTTGGAGGAAGAGGGGGGATAAATCTGCGACACGAGCTGTCATTAAACCAAATGGTCCCTGCGAACGTTGAGTCGTTTCATACTGACTGCAGTCAGAGCTAGTGATATGTAGTTCGTGAACGATTCGTTCAAAACGAAGGAATCATCTGGGTGAACGAACTGAACTGAATCACTTACTAAAAAGAGTCGTTCATTTCTCAACTTCAGTTGCGCTCTCCTCTCTCCCGTCTCGTGTCTCTCTCTCTAGACGTAAGAGTCGCTCAAAGCCCGCTCTCCCTTTCATGTCAGTGATACGTACTGACTGAACCAACAGGAGGAGTCGGTCGGGAGCTCTGTGTCGCTAAAGCCCGCCCACCCATCATCCTCTAATGTCTCCAAAATTGAGGAAGTAGCAAATATATTATTTAACATTTAGGTGTTGCGAAAATGTATGTGCTTTTTATAGCTGCTGTCAGTTTGCAAACGGCTTTTATATCCAACTCAATTTCACTCAGCTGACTGTTTTAACATCCACTAACGATCGTGTTTCAGTCAGTACAGTGTGTGTGTGACTGAGGCTGGTGACTCGCAGTCTCGCTCGTTCACGTTCAGTCAGTGTTTCGTTCACTGAACGTACTGAGAGGAAGAGAGTGACTCGGAGGCGGAGCTCTCGTTCAGTTCGTTCATTGAACGAACTGAACGAGAGCTCCAGCGTGAATCACTGACTGACTGAGAGGAAGAGAGTGACTCGGAGGCGGAGCTCTCATTCAGTGAACGAACTGAACGAACTGAATGAGAGCTCCGCCTCTGAGTCACTCTCTTCCTCTTATTGTACTGAACGTACTGAACAGAACGGTCGGGGAAAATAAATGTGATTGTTTTAGCAGCTTTCAGTTTGCAAACTGGAGCTTTATCCAACTAAATTCTCAGCTCATTGGCTTATTATTCACCACCGGCTGTTCTCAGTACGATCGCGAGCAGAACTAAACGTTCAGCCATGTTTCAGCTTATTAAATTCTGATTCACAGGCAGAGCTGCGGAGAAGTACTGAACGATTCAGTGAACGAATCTTTTGAATGAATCACTTTACTGAACTGATTCTACTGATTCAGTACACTGAAAAGAACTGCTTTTCACATCACTAGTCAGAGTGCTCAACACGGCCTGAAGAAAGTAGGCTTCTTCTGGGCCCTGTAGCCAATCATTGCAACGCGGTCGGCGTGAACCCGTTCGCGTTGTTTGCAATCTTGGAGGTGCACCGTGCACGGCTGGGCGCTCAGACCCTCTGCAAACCATCCTCTCGACGGCCGCGATTGCTCAATATCGCAGGGCCGAAGCATGAAACCTGATTCGCAGTGAGTCACAGTGTGCAGCACATGGCTAATTTACATAATGTTATGTTTCCATGAAAACACTGTGGAAAGATTCGAAGTCTGGCTAGCAAGCCAGCCTTTCTGTTAAACATGCTGTCTGATCATATTTACTGTTTGGTATCCATAGGTAAAGATGTTGAGATAAATGTGTGCTAGCTGAAGGTAACTTCATACAGTTTTCTGGTTCATTATTATCTCAGGCAACATTAAAGTGACAGCTGGTCAACACATGTAGTAAGAGAGGGAATATAAACTTAATGAAAATCAGCAGGAGCAAAACATCAGGTTAATATATTGATAATGTTTCATTATTATAGAAGAGAAAATATTGTCATCCTTGATGACTGTATTATGATGCTCTCTCAGACTCTGCTCTGAGAGCTACCTGCATAGTGACTGCCCTTTACATCACTCCTTAGTAGAACATGGTAAGCCCTGTTCTGCAAATTCATCCCATTTATAAAAAGAGACTGAAGGTTGGGTGCACGGGTTTTTCATGTTTCACTGTAGCTTTATCAAAAACTTAAAGAACAGAACATAGATAAAGACAAGCAGTTGTGTTTTTCTTATTGTTTGCACTGCTTCTTTAGTCGGTCTGAATGCTAAAATCGTCTGTAAATTAACATTTAATAGCTGATATATATATTTTTTTAAATCTTCCCGGGGGGGCATGCCCCCGGACCCCCCTTGGGGGTTTGGATCCATGAAACCTTTTTCATCCCTGATTAGTTTGCACCCCTGTTTATTGTACAAGATGTTTCAGATTCAGACAACTTTATCAATCCCAGAAGGGCAATTCAGTTTTACAGCCTAAGAGTCATTGAAAGAAACCAAGACAACATAAAGGAAACAAACACAGTCCCAGCAGCATTCAGACTATTACATGTCAGTAACAACAAATCAACAGAGGAACAGGTCGCCAAATGAGAAGCCAGAGTTTCATAAATACATCAGCAGGAATATGTCTTAGATTCATAAAATGAATGAACCTTACAGGTTACCTCAGCACACAGTGACAGTCCATACAATAAGTCAGTTAGAATGATTCAGCATTCAACAGCCTGATATCTGACAAAGAGTTGGAGTATCAGTTGCTTCTCCTTGGAGGGCCAAGATAGCGCCGCCCAGAGGGCATCAAAGAAAAGACAGACCAGAGACTGTCTTCTGCTTGATTTATGACAGACTGTTGGATGCATTGAAGCTGTTTGCCAGCAGGCTTAAAGCCTGCCTCAACTCCCGCTCTCTATCTATTTCTAGATAGAAAGTACTTTTACAGTCTATGGGTCAGTGTTTTCACTTTCACAATCATGATATAAATTATATTATAGATCTGATAAAAATGATAAATCCATGAAAATAGTTTGTCTCATTTTTGAAAAGCATCTTGGGATGTCGCAGGTCAATTTTTAAGTTTCAGGCTCATAACTTTGACTGTTTTAAGTTCAGACCTGTTATGAGCCCACTTTCCAGCAGCAGCGAGGCGTTTCACCATTTAACTTCAAGATGCAGTCAACCAGCTGACGAACATAGTGGAGCATTTAGCAGCTTAATAGCCAAATATAAATGATACAAATATTTATATATGTATATATATATATATATATATGTATATAATATATATATATATATATTAAAGGAGAGTTGATCTGAAACTTGTAGCCACAAGTATGTCTGAAAACCAAATGAACTGTGTTGCTCCACATCTTCTGAGGTGAAAAGACTTGTTGCACAGAAACTGCCTTTGGCACTACTCTGCTATGTTTGACCACAGTCTGCCTCTAAACCATAATCTCAGCTCACCGGGTTAAGGTCCCGAGGTTAGAGGTCAGAGCCAGTGCATGTGCTGCAAATAAAATGTTGAAGTATCTTTATGACAAACAATGTGGGAGGATTTTCTGGCCTTGATAGACCGGTGAAATCTGCCAAACCAAAAACTTTCAAAACTCTTAAGCAAACGTGTTTTCTATTGTCCTCTCTTCCTTCTCACTTTCTCAAATTACAGTCAACTCTTCTGTCTTTCTCCATTTCACTTACAAGAATGTTTTCTATTTCTGTCTGGGATCAATCCATCTCATCCACATGCACCCCACCCAACACACACACAAACACGCTGTGCAGACTGCCTGGACATCGGAGCCGCTCGCACTCTATTGGACAACGATCACTACGCTATGGACAAGCTGAAGAGACGTGTGCTGGAGTACCTGGCTGTCAGACAGTTAAAGGCCACCCTGAAGGTGCTTCTCATAGATCCCTCTGTCTTTAAAACATGTGAAGTTACATGTCATAAAAAGAAAGAATCCCTTATTTTAGATTATAAAATTAATTATTAATATGTTAATCTGTACGTTTCTTGTTGCCCCTGTCTCCTCAGGGCCCCATCCTGTGCTTTGTTGGGCCCCCTGGAGTGGGTAAGACCAGCGTGGGCCGCTCTATAGCCAGGACTCTGGGCAGAGAGTTTCATCGCATCGCTTTGGGAGGAGTCTGTGACCAGTCTGACATCCGAGGACACAGGTATGACCACACTATGCTTTATGAGCACAGTTCATATGGTGACTCAAGTTCAAATAGGAGAGTTTCCTGAGAAAGCAGACCACACAGGTAGTACTAATGTGTATGTTCATAGCTTTAAGTCACGTGACTGGTGCAGAGGCCTGGAGGTCAAAAAGAGCTGAGGAAAGTGGCGGCCTCCATTGAACACTCTGTGGAGCTGCAGCACAGCTCGTTCATTTTCCCTCTCTTCAAAACTGTGCATGTTAACATCACTTGACAACAGCAGGAAAACTGAGATATTTAAATAACAGAAAGTTTAGGGCACTTTCAACCTTAAGGCAGCATTACTGAAATCACTTAAACAGCAAAGTCCTCACAGGAACTTCACTTGTGTTTACATAAATCCTTCCTCAAGTACAGACAGCTTTATGTATTTCCCATGTGTCTGGGTCAGTAATGCAGCTGTTTGGGAAGTGAAAGGCAAGAAATTCTTCTTCTTCAAAGTATAGGTGAGTGCTAATTGGCTAACATAAGCTAGCTCACATATACATTGATATGACGATAAGCATCAGCTGCTGTCTCTTTAACTTTCTGTCAGGATTCTAGGGCAGTGGTGTTAGTAATATTTTAACACAATATTTGTGCCAGGATGAAAAGAAGTCTGTTCTTTTGCTCCCTCACAGGGACAGCAGAGTGTCTAACAGCATGAATCCACAATCTCCTCCTTTGCGTTTTCTTTCTCACGCTAATGAGATTCTGTGGAAACAAAGCTCGGGCTTGTCTCCTCATCAGTTAGTGCATTCAACTGATCAGCGACTTTCTTTTGTTACAAAATAAAAAATAAAGCTGGTGGACTGGCAGGAGCAAACTGGAAGCGGTAACTTTTACGTAGCGTGCAGCAGCAGGAAGCCATGGGTTACCAGGTTGGCGGTTCCATAAGTGTGTGACGTCATGTAGAAAACTATGAATAGATGTACATATGCAGAGAGAAATGTATGGGTTCAATAAGACGCTAAACGTCTTTTGAAAGTGTGATACTTACTGATGTTGCCGTGTGTTATCTGAGTTTGTAAATATGCAAATATATTAAACTTAAGAAGGTGATAATAAGTCAGTGTTGTGTTCACGGGTTGAGTGCGTCTCTGTCCTTAACCCTCATGCATCACTATGGACATTTTTGTCCATTTGGTCAAATGTTTCCTCTTCATCTGGTCATCATTTTGTCTGTGTTAGTGCATATGGCACACATCTCTCTCGACACATTTTGGAATGACAATTTTATTTTTTTAATAGATCAATAGAACACTGTGAAACATTTTTACAAGCCTCTTAAATCACACAAAATGTCCACTTCCAAAAAACTGCTATAAAAAAAGAACAGATTCATATTTCTTTCTTATTCTTTTGCATAAATCTCTTAAACAACTTCAGCCCTGCTCAAAACGATCAAATATTTAATAATTATCAGGAATTTAACCCTTTTAAATACCAGAATCAAACTGGCTGCTTTACAAGCAGATGTGCAATGCTCTCACAGTTGCAATTAGGAAAGCCAAAGCTGATCATTTCCTCACAGAAACCTCAAGCAACCTTAACAATCCCTTGAAATTCTGGAAGACAATTAAATCCCTGGCTGGAAATAAAAATGGAATTGAGCTTCCTCCATGCATTGTTAAGGACTCACTTAAAGTCACTGATAAGTCCAAAATGCTTGGTGTCTTTAATGAACATTTTATAGCCTCTGGCTCCTTGTTTGACTCTTTTAGTAATAGGCATATAAATTCCGCTACTGTTTTTTCTGACTGCCATGTTACAGGTAGTCAATCCTTCAGTTTTCAAGTCATTACAGTCTCAGAAGTGCTCAAAGCCCTCAAACTCCTCGACACAAAAAAATCTGCAGGTCCTGACAACTTAGAACCTTACTTTTTAAAGCAGCTGATTTTGTCGCACCACCTTTGACACATCTTTTTAATCTCTCCCTGGACACAAATGAAATTCCTCTTATATGGAAATCTGCATTTGTTCTTCCCTTGTTGAAAGGGGGGGACCCTACAGTCTTAAATAATTATAGACCCATCTCCAAATTGTCGGTCCTGGTTAAGGTTCTGGAGTCCATTGTGAGTGAACAACTGAAATATTTCCTACTATCATACAATATCTTATCTGACTTTCAGTCAGGTTTTAGGAAAAAACACAGCACAACTACAGCGGCCTTAAAAGTGGTCAATGATTTTATAGAATTTTTAGACAACAAACACCACTGTGCAACGCTTTTTATTGATTTATCAAAGGCTTAGAAGTGTAGGACTATCAGACAAAGCAGTCTGCTGGTTTGAAAGCTACCTTTCTGGAAGATCTCAGTGCGTGCAGGAAGAAGGCATCACTTCTAGCTCCCTTATAGTATTCAAAGGCGTGCCCCAGGGATCAGTCCTGGGACCACTACTCTTCATTTTATATATCAATAGTCTTGATCAAAATGTTATTAATGCAAATTCCCACTTTTATGCTAATGACACTGTAATATACTGCTCTGCACCTACACTAAATCAGGCCCTTTGTCAGCTACAACTTGCTTTTAATACTGTACAACGTACCTTGTCTGACTTAAAACTTGTGCTGAATGCTGATAAAACGAAACTCATGATGTTCTCGAACTCCAAATCAAAGCCACTGAACCTTCCTGCTATCACCACCTTTCAGGGCTTTGAAATTGAGTCTGTATCTCAATACAGATATCTGAGATTTGTGATCGATGATTCTCTCTCTTTTAAGCCTCACATTCAACAATTGGTAAAAAAAAACGCAAGTTAAAATTAGGATTTTATTTTAGAAATAAGTCTTGCTTTTCATTTAAGGCCAAGAAAACACTTGTTGCTGCCACTTTTATGTCAGTGCTAGACTAAGGGTAATAAGGGTATTCTCGGTCTGCTTCCATCCTACCTACAGAGCTACATACTTCAAAAAAGTAATGGAAGTTACCATCTTTGCTCGCAGGATTTACACCTTCTAACCATCACTAAAGCCCGTACTGAATTAGGAAAAAGGGCGTTCAAGTATGCTGCTCCCTCTTCTTGGAATTGGTTGCAAGATACTTAAAATCTTCGGGAGCTGGTTTCCTTGAATGTTTTTAAAGGTCGTCTTAATGATCTGTAGGCAGAAATATCTGACTGTAGATGTTTTAGCTAACTCGTATTGCCCTTTTTGATCGCTTTGTTGCTGATGACTTATTGACAGATTCTGATGAATGGTTCTTTTTGTGATTCCTGTATTTATGGTCATTGTTGTTAAGTGTTTTTTATGTCTTAAACCCTGTAATTGTGCTGCTGCCTGTCTTGGTCAGGACGCTCTTGTAAAAGAGATTTTAATCTCAATGAGACTTTTTCCTGGTTAAATAAAATAAAATAAATAAAAAGAGGGTAGTAAATTAAACTGATGCCTGAGGGCTAAGCAGCTCATCATCTAGTATGCTTCTTTCAAACACTCATAATGTGCTGCAGCAGTAACAGTGAAGTGTCTTAAGTCTATTGACTCTCGTGATGTTCACTGGAGCACAGCGCTCTCTGCCGCTCAGTGGAACATGAGCTCCCTTCATCAGTGAAATATTTGGAGTACTTTTCAAACATGTTCTAAAAATATCAAAATATCCTTTTCTAAGTTAAAACACGAGTGTTCTGTTATTAAAAAAGAAATGTGAATTTATTCTGTTGTATGTTTCATGGTCTGAAAAACCTTTCATCTCTTTGTTGACTCAACCAGTTGTCATTTTCTGCAAATAAAATAAAAAATCTGAGAAATTGTATTTAGAAGTTGCGAGAAATGTTGTTTACAATAAAACAAAAAATGGGGGCGCAGATAGCCTGGTGGTTACGTCTCACACCCGTGTATGGTGGCTACAGTCCTCGTCGCGGCAACCCACGGCTGCCGCGACGAGGCCCCCCCCCCCACCCCTCCTCCCAGCATTTCCTGTCTCTCCTCAGCTGTCCGATCTAAAAAAAAATGCAAAAAGGCCACGCAAAAAACCCTTAAATAACTTAAAATGACTAAATAACAAAAATGTTCATTGCTCTCAAACACAACCCTTTGAATTGTAGAACCAGAGAAAATCTTTTTTTTTTCAGTGGTCTCATCTTTCTGAAGCTGTAAACGTAGTTAAGAATACTGCAATACAAAGTATTTGTTAGATCTATTATGCTCACTCTCACTGTTAATGATGTCAGTCTGGTAGACCTGTAGAGTAGCATTGTGAGATGTGTACCTCAAAAACATTCTTATCTATCTGAAACTGGTGTCAGTAAAATCCCTCATTTCAACCTTGGATTAAAACGCTTCATTTCAGCTGCTGTCTCTTTAAGGCCCCGCCCCCCCCAAGTGCCAACTTTCCTGAGATTGGTCAGCTCTGTTTGCAATTGCAGGGAAATTAAAGGGAGCTTCCGGGGCGGCGTGTCCTGGAAAGAGCTGCTGGGATGGCCGTGCTCCCTGCTTTGCTCTAAAGCTGATCCTGACATCAGGTTCAGGCCAAGTCTCGCACATTTCTTGAAGCGTCTCGTTCCCAGCAGCAGGAAACCACATCCAGGGATTACGGCAAATAACTGTGTATCCTGTGTTTTAAAAAAATGTTGCCGAGGTTTTTTATGGACATGCAACATCGTAACTCATATGTATCTAGTCAAATATATGGATCAACATAATAGATCTCCTTTAATGTTACTCACATTTAATTCTTCTAGCCTGGGTCCCTCAGTCGACCTTCAGTCAGGGTAAACTGACTCAGATTGAGAATGAGTCTGAACACAGACAGAACAAACATTGGAGGTGTTTGTTGCTGTTTGTGGTATAAGATTCATATTGAGGCTCATGCCGCTGTGTGCATGTATATCCAGAGAAGTGATCGGAGAGTTCTCCCACTGCAGCGCTTGTCCCAGTGATCTGAAGAGAGTCTAAATGGGGCGGCTGAGCTCAGTTTGTTAGAGTCGTAGCCTCTCAACTGGAAGGTCGAGGGTTCAATCCCCAGCTGGGCATCATGTCCGATGTGTCCTTGGGCAAGACACTTAACCCTGAATTGCTCCCACTGCTTCGGTGGTGGTGTATGAATGGGATTGGTTACTTCTGATGGATGATACTACATAGTGACCACTTCCATCAGTGTGTGAATTTGTAGGTGTGACCTGCAGTGTATAAGAGCTTTGAGTAGTCAGAAGACTAGAAAAGCGCTACCCAGGCTCAAGTCCATTAACAGAGCTGAGAGACACCTCCTCACTGCCAGATGTAAAACATGTGTTCGACATACCAACAGCAGGAGAGCGAGAGACCAAGATGAAAGTTTCTAAGCAGTTAGGCTTTCTCAGAAAGACCACTCCAGGGGCGCGCTGGTGGTGCAATGGTTAGGGCGCCTGTGGCCTGTGGCCGCCTGTGGCCGCCTGTGGCCTCCTTCCCACGTCGTTCCCCACTCTCTCTCCCTGGTTTCCGACTCTATCCACTGTCCTGTCTCTCCATTAAAGGCACAAAAAGCCCCCAAAAAAAGAAAGACCACTCCAGTAGTATCTTTTTAAAAAACATTTTACGGTAAAGTTTTTGATTCTGTTTCTAAAATTCCCCTTCTTGGAACACTTGTCACTGCACATTTCTTGCCTCCAGCTTGTCCTGGCATCAAGCGATTTGTCACATTCATCACTATGTCTGCATGTGTAGTTGTTCAGTATTGCAAATTAACAAGATATTATCTTGACCTTCATCGTGTCAGTAGTAGAATCAAGTCCTTTTGTGAGTGTGAGTGGAAACTGTACACAGTAGGTCAGTAGTTCAAATCTTGTCTGTCTTGCAGACGCACATATGTAGGGAGCATGCCCGGGCGCATCATCAACGGTTTGAAGACGGTCGGCGTCAACAATCCCGTGTTCCTACTGGACGAGGTGGACAAACTGGGGAAGAGCCTCCAAGGAGACCCTGCAGCTGCTCTGCTAGAGGTCAGCTCTGTTTCCATCCCTCAGATTGTTTATTTGATCATCATTATCACTTGTGTTACCCAGCCTGTGATGAACCTTCACCTTTCATTAACCTACTGTACATACTTACCAAGTCTACCTTTCATTGTTTTTGTATGTTTGCTTTCCTCTAGTCGTTCCACTTATTCCAGGAAAAAGTCAAATAATCTTCCTGTTGAATTAAAGATTGTGAAAACCTTCATGACAGTTGATAAATGTTCCATCAGGTTCTGGACCCAGAGCAGAATCACAGCTTCACAGACCATTACCTCAACGTGGCCTTTGACCTCTCCCAAGTCCTCTTCATCGCCACAGCAAACACGACGGCCACCATTCCCCCCGCCCTCCTGGACCGGATGGAGGTGCTGCAGGTACCAGGTGGGTTTAGGTTTCAGAGATCCCACCCTCAAGGGACACATCCCAACAAAAAAAACTTTTGAATCTGAGGCCAAATACTTTCTCCGGGAACTAATCCAAAGCTGAATGCGTTTCTGCATGATTTGATTTTCTGCAGTGTAGATTGAAAACAACAGCTGTTTATCCAGTCCCAGTTAGACACATACACACAAACAGACAAATGTGAGCCACTAAATAAAGATCACCCACAGATTATCAGGGATTATATGCTTTGCTATAAAATGATACCTTTCCTTATCTCTAATGTATGTCTTTAGATGTCTAAGAGGTCACATTTTATTTATTCACATAAAAAGTCTCATATTGTTTTTACTCTGCATTCATGAGCTTAAGAGACAATCTCCAAGTATGTGACGTTAGGGGACATTTGGAGATGTGAAGATTGTTGCACTACATCCTGCTGCATGTGCTGAGTGATGTATAACGAAGGCCCTTAACATTCGGTGACTGTGATTAGATGATTTCACTTCTGAGTATTTGTATATCTCAGCAACGACACCATACTGGCCTTTCTGTCAAATCGGCTCCTCAGTGGTTTCAGTGTGTGTTGTTGATTGTTCTCATCCCAATGAACCAAATAACACTGGTACAGTCTGTCTGCACAGTTTGATGGCAAAGCGTCCTCTGAAGACACAACGTATGTGTCCCTGAGCACACTTTTTTTTCTTTTTTTTTTACTTGGAACAGTGCAAATCGCTGCATGATGTACAGAATACAAAATATAAAGCCCCCCCATCCCTACCCAAACCCTCTTATCTCCCCGATCCACAACCCAAAAGACACCCTCAGTCCCCCCCCCCAACGCAATGCTTTTAACAACAATGATAGTATAATGTCTACCTTTACACATATACATACATTTATCCACATACAGTTAGTAAACACAAATAATCCAGGCCATGCAGCTGCTCCTATTAAACCCCATAATCATAAAGAGTGCTGTGTCATTCCAATTAGTTATCCTAGTAACAGTAGTGAAATGAGCACACAACATTTTTAAAGCAGTTAGATCTTGTACTGAGATTTATACATATACTTATATTTACTTACATATACTAAGTTCACACAGTACCAAAAAAAAAAAGTTGTAAAAAACGTCCCGAGGGATGAACCTGGCTCCTGGACTGTCTCCCAAACTAACCAGACCACTAACACATACTGCACAAGTTAGTAACTGTGGGGTAACAATGTAACAACTTCAGCACATTCATAAACAAAGGGAAACACCATCAGGTGTAAATCTGTTAAATGTGTTTTTAGGCTACACTCAGGAGGAGAAGGTGGAGATAGCACACCGTCACCTGATCCCAAACCAGCTGGAGCAGCACGGGTTAACACCTCAACAACTGCATATCCCACAGGACAGCACGCAGGATATTATCAGCAGGTACACACACGCACACACACACATAGCAGATAATCTGGTGTCAGATCGCAGCAGCTGTGGCTCAGTGGTAGAGTCGGTCGTCTCTCAATTGGAAGGTCGGAGGTTCGATTCCAGCTGCTGTGAGATGAGATGAAATTCCCCAGATGTTTGTGGACATCGTTGCATGTTCACCACTGGAAAGCTTCTACATGTAATCAGTAAAGAACAGCTCGGTGAGTGATGAGTGAAGCAGAGCACTTATCACACATCTGAGGCTAAAACTGGTTTCAACCTTTGCTTATCAGAGTGTTTCTTAAAGCTGTCAAACAGGTGTGGTGGACATTTGTTGTGACTGTTTATGTGGACTTCTCCTTGACCTGTTTGATTGGATGAAACATTTTTTTTAATCTTGATGACTGAGTGCAGCGGCTGCAGGGCGGTGCAGAGGTAAGCGTTGTCGCCTAACAGGGAGGAGGTTCCTGGTTCAAATCCCCATCAGACAGGAGCTTCTCTGTGTGGAGTTTGCATGTTCTCCCCGTGCGTGTGTGGGTTCTCTCTGGGTACTCCGGCTTCCTCCCACTGTCCAAAGACTTGTTCATTAGGTTAACTGGAGACTCTAAATTGCCTGTAGGTGTGAATCAATCAATCAATCAATCAATTTTTATTTGTATAGCGTCAACTCATAACAAGTGTTATCTCCAGAAACTTTACAAAAATCTGGTAAAAGACCTTAGTCTTTGTCTGTTAACATTACAAAAGAGCAGGTAAAAAGACCTTACTCATTGTTATGTTACAAAAGAGCAGGTAAAAGACCTTACTTATTGTTATGTTACAAAAAGCAGGTAAAAGACCTGACTCATTGTTATAATAATAATAATAACTTTATTTATATAGCACCTTTTAAAAACACAGGTTTACAAAGTGCTTTGACAAACAGCAAGAACAAAGCAAACTAAACACAGAAAAACATTAACAACAGTAAGAATATAACAGATGCAAAATACCAAAAATAATTAAAAACAATTCAACAGAAAAGAACCCAAAGTGCAAGATACACAACCAGACATATATAACCCAACCATCATAAGAACCATCATAAGAACCCAGGAACACAAGAACCCAACAACATGAGCTGAGACCAAGAGGACCAAAGATTTAAAAAGATGTAAGAAACTAAGAGATAAAAGCAAATAAAAAGCAATGAGAAGGTAAGCGCAGTAAAGGAAATAAAAACAAGTGGTTAAAGGATCAAAAAACCCAAAACTATAATAAAAATAAAAATTAACTATAAATACAAAACGTAAATAGACAAAGTAAGTAAGATAAGAAATTACCAAGTTAAAACACAAGAGGAGATTAAGATATGAGCATAAATACGAGATAAGACCATAAATAAAAGACAGTAAGAAGTAGAAGAAGATAAAAATAGTAAAACCAGTAAGAGAAGACATTAAGAAGACGACATCACATAAAAGCAAGTCTGTAAAAGTATGTTTTAAGAAGGGATTTAAAAGAATTGAGGGAGTCTGCGAGTCTTATCTCCTCAGGGAGGTCGTTCCAAAGTCGAGGGGCCCTGACTGAAAAGGCCCGGTCACCTTTAGTTTTAAGTCTCGACTTTGGAACGACCAGGAGGCTCCCACCCGAGGATCTAAGACTGCGGGCTGGCTCATATGGTGTCAGTAACTCTGTTATATAGCTTGGAGCCAGCCCCGTCCGTGCTTTAAAAGTAATGAGTAAAATCTTAAAATCGATTCTAGAACGTACAGGAAGCCAGTGTAATGAAGCTAAAATTGGAGTGATGTGATGTCGTCTGTTACAACCAGTAAGAAGCCTAGCTGCTGCATTTTGGACCAGCTGGAGGCGAGACGGTGACTTATTTGTGATTCCGGAAAAGAGGGAGTTACAGTAGTCAAGTCGGGAGAAGATGAGGGCGTGGATGATCTTTTCAAGGTCTCGTTGGGTTAGGATTGTTTTAATTTTGGAGATGGTGCGTAGATGGAAGAAGCTTGATCGGACAACTGTTTTGATATGGGATTCAAAGGTGAGATTGCAATCGAATGTTACTCCTAGATTTCTGGCGGTGGGTTGGACATTGGTGAATAAGGGACCGAAGCTGCTCTTTGAGATATGAGTGGTGTTTGGCGGGTTGAATACTATGATTTCAGATTTAGAATTGTTCAGTTGGAGAAAGTTTTGCGTTATGTTACAAAGATCCAGTCTATCCATCATGAGTACTTTAGCAAAGCAGCAAAAGTTACAGTGGTAAGAAAAAACTGCCTTATTAAAAGGCAGAAATCTTCGGCCGGAGGGGGGGGTGTTGTTCTGGCAGGCCGTCAACCAACGATCTTGAGGAGCCTAAGAGAGCTCAAGAGCTCCCAGGAAAGTAGGTAGTTAGTGACTGAGATTTACAGATAGATACATGCAGTAATATGATGTACTGTATATGCATAGAGAGAGAGAGAGAGAGAGAGAGAGAGAGAGAGAGAGTGAGGAGCTCAAGGTGCCAGTTTCCCCGGTAGTCTAAGCCTATAGCAGCATAACTAAGAGCTGGTCTACACCAGCACTAACTATAAGATTTATCAAAAAGGAAAGTTTTAAGTCTATTCTTAAAAATACAGACTGTGTCTGCCTCCCGGACCCCGGCTGGAAGGCGGTTCCAGAGGAGAGGAGCCCGATAACTGAAGGCTTTACCCCCCATAGTACACTTAGAGACTGTAGGTACCACTAGTAGGCCTGCACTCCGGGACCGTAATGTTCTCGAGGGGCAGTACGGCACTAGTAGCTCCTTCAGGTAAGATGGTGCCTGGCCATTTAGAGCTTTGTAAGTGAGAAGAAGGATCTTGAATTCTATTCTAGACTGTAAAGGGAGCCAGTGCAGAGAAGCCAACACAGGAGTGATGTGGTCCCATTTCCTGGTTCTGGTCAGTACATGAGCTGCAGCGTTCTGGACCAGTTGAAGAGTCTTTAGAGACTTACCAGAGCACCCTGACAAAAGAGAGTTACAATAATCCAGTCTGGAGGTAACAAATGCATGAACTAGTTTTTCTGCATCATTTTGTGACAGGATATTCCTGATCTTGGATATATTACGAAGGTGAAAATAGGCTGTTCTTGAAATTTGCCTGATGTGAGAGCTAAAAGACATATCTTGATCAAAAAGAACTCCTAGATTCCTAACAGTGGTGTTAGATGCCAGGCTGATGTCATTGAGGACAGTCAAATCACTAGAAAAAGTCTAGCTGAGGTTTTTAGGGCCTAGCACAATAACTTCAGTCTTAGCACAATAACTTCAGTCTTGTGAATGTGAGTGTCTGTTTCTATGTCAGCCCTGTGATTGACTGGCGAACAGTCCAGGGTGTATCCCGCCCCGCCTGTCGCCCAATGACAGCAGGGATTGGCTCCAGCCCCCTGCAACCCTGAACGGGAAAAGCGGTAAAGATAATGAATGAATGAATGAATGAGTGCAGCTCTCTGTGTGTGCAAAGAGCTGCCTGAAACACTGTTCTTCAAAGAGTGGGCTTCAGATCAGTGTGTTTTACTGTTTCTTACACATTTAAATCTGTTCAGGGGCAGATTTGAGTCAGAGTCTCTCTTTTGATGATCTCGTACTGTTTTAAATCTTAATGGTTCAAGTGACATCTACCGATTGTTTTCATCATCAGTCAGTCAGTTTTGAGTAAGATATAAGATAAACTGTAAATATATGTAAGTAATTGGTGGGTGATTCACATCATCTTTTTTGAAGCCCAGTTTGCAACCTGAAAAGCCCTGTGCACTTAAAGATGTTTAATCAAATGTTTCCAGCACTAGTGTTCTGTTGTTTGTTTATGGACTTTCTACACAACAGAACTCGTTATTTAACTGAACCACATTTAAAATACAATCTGACTTAGAGCTGCTTATGCAGGGCCTCCTTTAAGATGGTGATCAGCATACTGCCTGCAGACCTTAACAACACTCACTGCACTCTGGTTACTATAGAAACAGCCAACAGCACACAGCATCCTCTAAGAGGTACTCCTGATTTAACAGCCTTTCTCTTTTAGACAAACAAAACAGACTGAATAAAAGAGAAAAGGTTGAAGGTTTGGTTTTAGATTCACTAAATAAAGGAGGTTAATCAAAGTGTCATACTGGTCTCATTGTAGTAAATCATGTTTATTTCAAAAGGGTACTTTTCGTTGATCTCCTGTGTTTTTGTTGTTGAGTTTTATCTGTATCTGTGTTTTTTGCCTTCTAGGTACACCCGTGAGGCAGGCGTACGCTCCTTGGAGAGAAAGTTCGGGGCAATCTGCCGAGCGGTGGCTGTGAGGGTCGCTGAAGGTCACAGAGTCGCCAAAACACAGGAGGCTGTGACCCCTGAAGGGCCAACAAAGCAGAGGGGTAAGAGTCTGAACCCTCAGTCTGTGGGTGTCTCTGCCCTCTCATGTATCAAATCAAATCAAATGATACTCAGTGTTGTTACAGTATCCCGGTAACAGCACCAGTATTAGCCTCTGGTACAGCCTTAAATCAGATCAGATATTAGCAAGTAGACTGTCAGTGCACTCATCTTATACTATAACCTTGAAATCGACTTGTGTATATGGTTCTATATATGACCACAAAGGGATATCAAAAAAATACAAAATAGAAATTGTTGATCTTAATGCTGAAGATCTCTTCTCAGTTTGAATCATATCCACCTAAAACATCTCCTCAAAGGAGCTTTAAATGACTTTGAAATATACGCTTTTCTAAGAGAAACTCTTAGCAGAAAATACCTCCTTACCTTATTAAAGCTAACCATCTGCTCGGATACAAAGAGGAAAAAACCCAATTAAGAACATGCTGAGCAGCTGTAATATTCACGAGTGCACGTTTAAGAAAGCATGTCAGAACGATCTGTGTGGCAGCATTCTGCAGGACAAACTGTTCTGTCAGAGGTTTAATCTGAGGGATAATCAGCCGTATCACAGTCAATTAAACACGTTATTTCCTGTCAGCTGCCGAAGCATCTGAAGCCTGTCTGAAGGATGGTACCCAATAAGTGCAACAGGACGTCTTTCAGCGAGCTGTGTAATGAGCTGGATAATGTGCAGCCAGCTGGTCTTTATTAGTCGTTTGACTAATAAAGAGGGTTTCCTCTCAAGTCTCCTCCCAGCAAAGACTGTGACTCTGTTCTTTATGACATTAAGACAAGTCAAAATCTGATTTCATTTGTCTGAAGAGTTCCTTCTAGGATAAAAAATATGTCTCCAGACATGAGCAGTCATGGGAAAACAAAATAATAATGATTTTTTTTTCTGAGGAAAAAGTGGAAGCAGAGATGACAGATAAACTGAGGATTTAGGCAGTTATCTGTAGCATTCCTCTGTGTCGCAAGCTCGCTGATATGTGACTGACCTGCAACAGTGATGTGTGTGTGTAAATGATAAATTGACTTGTATGGCACTTTTCTTGTCTTCTGACTACTCAAAGCATTTTACATGAGGGTTGGCAGGAAAAAGTCAAAATATAAGCTGTGTTTTTAAAAAGTCGACAGTTTGAGTTCACACATGCATCCTGCCTGGACAATGTGGGGAAGGGGCTTTTCTGTCTGACTCCTTACTTTGACAGTGTTGTTTCTTTCTTTATGTAAGACTTGTGGATGATGACATCAGGCAGTGCAGTCATGCATCATCATATGAGTACTCTTCAAACCATTTGCAATCAAGTTGATCATTCAAATATAAAGTTAAATGTGTTGTGCAATATGACGAGTTGGCTGTATGGCCAAATTCCATCGGCACTTCTCACTGGGATTTATTTAATTTTGTGTGTTCAGACAAAGCAGTGCCTCCAGAGATGCCGATAGTGATCGATCACATCGCGCTGAAAGACATCCTGGGACCCCCGCTGTTTGACATGGAGGTGAGTGGGACGACAGCAGATTGAGGAGGAGACAAGAGCAGCATCTGCAGAGGCTTTCTGAGTCTTTCTCACAGCTCATGAATATGAAGGCAGCCTGTGCAGTTCTCTCAGCTCCACAGCAGCTGCTCTTCATGAAGTCTGAGTAGTTGAAAACATCATGCATCGTACAGTATAATGTGAAACACCGTACAGTTTGTCTTCGGGCCGTTTACTGTCATGTCTTTTTTTTTTTCATCTCTCTTTTTATCCTCCTCCTTCTCCTCTTCTCTTAACTTTTTTTTCGTTCTCCGTCCTTTACTGATGTCGTTTTCTTTTTCTTATTCATCCCTGAAATTTTAAGCATCAGAAATGCTGCATGAAGGCTTTCTCGCCTGTTTTCTGATTATTCCATCAAATACAGCTTGAGAGATGATTTGTGAAGTGTCTGTTTGAAGGTGTCAGAGCGGCTCACCCTCCCCGGCGTGGCTCTAGGTCTGGCCTGGACCCCCCTGGGTGGAGAGATCCTGTTTGTGGAGGCCAGTCGAATGGAAGGTGAAGGTCAGCTCACTCTAACGGGACAGCTGGGAGACATCATGAAAGAATCCGCCCATCTGGCTATCAGCTGGCTCAGAGCGAACGCCAAGACCTACCAGCTCACCAACAGTGGGTTCACTACAGCGTGCAGTAGCTTTATAGAAACATACACACTGTCTATTAAACCAATGAACATGCAGATACATGTAATGTTAGTGTCCTTTTAAACAGTTGTTGGAGGTCCAGATCCACTCGACGGTACAGACATCCACCTTCATTTCCCTGCTGGAGCTGTCACCAAGGATGGCCCCTCTGCAGGTGTAACCATAGTAACCTGCCTCGCCTCACTGTTTAGCGGCAGATTGGTCAGATCAGACGTTGCCATGACAGGAGAGATCACGCTACGAGGGCTAGTGCTGCCGGTGGGTTTCACACATTCAGATTGTACATGAAGTATTTTCTATAGGCTTTCATCAAGAGATTTTTATATATATATATATATATATATATATATATTCAAATGAAAACTCCATCTGCACAGATGTTTAATCCCCAGCACCTGACCAGTTCCTTTGATCCAGACAAAAACAGTTGATAGATTTGTGTCGGTTTGTCATCCTCAGGTGGGCGGGATTAAGGACAAGGTCCTGGCGGCCCACAGGTCTGGAGTGAAGCGTGTCATCCTCCCTAAGCGCAATGAGAAGGACCTGGAGGAGCTTCCAGCCAACGTCCAGGCAGACCTTGATTTTGTCACCGCCGCAAATCTGGACGAGGTCCTAAATGCCGCCTTCGATGGAGGTTTCCCGGGGACAGCCAGCTCCTCCTGCACACACCCACAGCTGAGCAGCAAACTGTAACACACCGACAAGAGTATACACACGTGAAGTAAGGAAAGTGTTCCTGAACGGTCCTCATGCAGGACTGACTGAATCATGTTTGAGCGTTGAGATCTGGGAGTAAAATAAGTTCAATCCTGAAATGCAGCTGCAGCAAGAATTCTTAAAAGGCTTGTTGTTGATCTCTAACACTGTTTGAAGATTCTTTCCTCCTGAGGTTTTGTTTTTCACAGGATAGTTTTCTATCACAGGGTTAATTTGTGGTAAATGAAGCAACAAGTTAGAGCCAAACAACTGTTCAAAGTGAATTCATCATTATCTTATGATAAGAGTGTTGCCATGTCGGTGCCTTTTACGACTCAGAATCAGTTCCTCTGGACTGTTTGCTGTTTCCTTTGATGTTAACATGATATGAGAACGCTCTCCTTTAGACGAGCCCCTATGGGAAGCTGATAGCACTTATTGATTTAGCTCTAAAATTACAGATTTTGTTGAATAATATCAGTAAAGGCAGTTTACTGTGATGGTCTGTGTATGTGAGGGAGGAAACTGATGTGGAAAACGTGTTGAGATGGTGTGCATTCCTGCAGCCTGTTCCAATCACTGAGTTTAAATTAATTAAAATCTAATGTAGTCTGATGTCACCTGATTGGTGGATATCTTTTCCTGTAATTGCAGATTTTAAAATGTATTGACGGTGCAAATATATATTTATATTTTTACATGAAAAGGGAGCTGTCAGTTTGATCGCTCAGTATTATTTCTGATCCATGAACTGTATAAAGAATGGACAGCAGCACATCTCACATCAAGTGAAGCCAAAGGATTTAGAGCTCCCCCTACAGACTTGTGGCAGCACAGCCCCTCCATGTTACCAGATGGGACATGAGTGAAACTATCAAATCTAAAATAAATGTTCCTCAAACATTCTTTAGTTGTTATAGTTATTGTCACGCGGATTTGTGTTAAAGTCATCTTCTATCTGAGAAGTTTTTTTTAATGAGATATAAAATGTAATGATTGACTGCTCTGTTGACGAATGCAGCTTCTGCAGTGCTGTGTGTACCGGAATAGCAAAGTGGAGCAGAAGCGTCGAGAGGAAACATAATGAATGCTAACAAGATTCATTGATCTTTTCCAAAACCTTGAGTGTCGGCTTCACACGACATAAGAATCTGTTCCGCCTTGAACTGTACCGACTGAAATCCTAAATCCCTTTAAGTTAGTTAAATGTGTGTTTTGGTTAGCAGAAGTGGAGTAGCATTCATCCACCGCAGGGTCTCTATTGTGCAACTCAGCCTCAAAATGACATCCCCAGCGCACATGTCAGCGCCCGTTATAGGGGGTATATTGGCTTCATTTTTGTACAGCAGGAGGAGACATGTTGTCCATTCTTTATACAGTCTTTGGTCTGCGATACTTCTGTGAAGTGTGATAACAAATTCCATTTGTTTAGCAACACAAAAGATGGATGATTTTAGAAGCTCTCACACCATCAAGTCTTTTAATAGAAACTCTAATCAAACTACCCATAATGCATTTGTGTCCTGTTGAATAAACATGAGTGATGATTCAATTTGTGAGAAAATGTTTGTTTTTGTCCTTGGACCTCTATAATAACACACAGGTATAAAATCACAACATGTGTGTTGTTCTGTACACGTATTAGACAAATTCACCCTGAAGCTGATTTTTTTTTTTCACATCTGTGGCCCAGATGTGATTTCCTCTCTGTCCCCTGTGGGGTAGTAATGTGAAACACCTGCTGCAGCAAATTATTTTAAAACTGTATTTAGACAACCATGAGAAGATTAATGCACTGAAGCAGAAAACTTCACACAGATCGATTTATAAAAAACAAAAAACATCAAAGAATGATGGGGGTAGAAAAAGGGCTGAAAAGATTTGTACTGTAAACATTTTGTAAAGGAATGTTCCTGGAAACAAAATATGCCAAAATCAGCTGGATGTTTTTAAATGTGAACAGTTAATATTAGAACATTAAAATGATTAAAAAGACTATCAAAATATAATTCAGTGGACTCCTTCTCTCAGACAGGAAGAAAGTACTGGAGCACAGGAATCACAGAAGGCAACGCACTGCGTCTTCAAACGCACCAATAGGAGGAAGACGCAGTGCATTATTCTTTGCACATAAATACATTTTCCTTAAATGGATCTTGGGCTCCAGTATACTCTCTTTGGATCCTGTCTGAGAGAAGGAGTCCATTGAGGTATATTTTGAATGTCTAAAATCCATCTGAGAGCACAGACCTGTGGAGCTCAAAGAGCTTTCTCTCTAGTTTGATACATTTTTTTTTTTAAATGTTAACAGCTGTAAACGACTGTACAGTAAATGTGCAATTTCTAATAAGGCTGTGATAAGCTCTGAACTAGTAGTGAGTAAGGTCTTTTTACCTGCTCTTTTATAAAGTGTCTCCAGACAACATTTTTTATGAATTGGCACTATTACAAATACAGATGGATTGATTAATATACACCAGGGGTTACCAAACATTTCAGTTCAGGACCCCAAAATAAACTGTGCTAGAGACTGGGGACCCCCAGTGTCCCTGTTTTAGTAATTTATTGTAAGAAAGTCTAAAGGCAGAACACAAGTAATCTGCATGGATAAACTGGATTGTATTCTTGGGGAGCGACAGACACCTGCATTATTTCAGTACGTGCAAACTTCCATTTAAAATATTTATTTTACTTTTATTTCAGCATAAATCTTACTGAACGACTATAGCCATATTTTAAATTCAACTACTTTTTGTATGTAGTTTCACAATGATGGGTAAAATGTGCAATTTTTTCAAAATTGTAGTTTGTTATGGAAGGCATCTCCATTTATAGGCTTACAGAAGTTAAATGTAGCTCCTGTTTTGTTGTTGCAGAAATCAGCTGTTGCAGGGTGAGCATTCAAAGTGAACGAAAACAGTCAAGTTTGGGATCAGAAACTCAAAACAAGGAGGTTAAAGTTGTATCTTGTATCGGAAGGGAAGCACAGAGCCAACTGATAATTCTAAGTGGACTTGAGCTTGTAAAACACTTTTCTAGTCTTCTGATGACTCAAAGCACTTTTACACTGCAGGTCACACCTACACATTCACACACTGGTGGTAGAGGTTACTATGTAAAGTGTCCATCAGAAGTAACTTATCACATTCATAAGCAACTTGGGGTCTTATCTAAGGACACATCCCATGCATTTACTTTTCTCAGAAGGTCCAAACATAAAAAGACTGATGAGGCAAGGGGCTTGATACTGATGCTGTCACTATCAGACCTGTGCATGTCTGTGCTAAGTAACAGACATATCTGATAAAGGGGCTCAACTCACAAAACAAATTTAGTTTCTTTTGATAAAGTAATGAACTGGTAAATAATCAGATGTTGGGTTGGAGTGAGCTCATTAAAGCGACTGAGGGACTACTGAAGCGAGGCACATACAGCATATGTGGACAAATTATTTTCTGATCATGTTTTTAAAATGCCAAAGAAGTAATTGCGGATCAAAAATGTCATCTTACTTCCCTTTTAACAGTCAAACCTACGAATAACTCCCTGAGAGTCTGCTGTGAAAAATGTGCAACCTTGTAGGCAGATTCTCCCCGCCTCCTCTGGTGCCCACCAGGTGGCAGCAGTTAGCAGATATTACAAATGACTTTCTAGAAATAATCAGTTGTTGCTGGTGATCATGTTCTCTTTTGCCGGTCACATAGAGGCATCCGTGTTGATTTGACGAAACACAGGGAAGAAACTAACAGTGCAGCAGCTTTTTACTTCAGGATGTATAAAGAGAGACTGAACTGACCATCAGGGATGATGTGAGATCTGTTAAGGAGAAAGCTGGAGAAACTTCAGTAGCTCGATATTCTTATGTTTGGATAGTATGAGGCAATCAGAGAGGTCATGTTTCCCTTTGATGCCTTGCCTATGTTTACATGCGCATACATGCTGACTCATCGTCTGTGCATTACCAGTGGTAGAGCTAAGTGTGACATGCACACACACACACACACACTCAGACAAAGTGGCTCAGACAGACTCAGAGGGCAGAACAAACACCTAGCTGTGAGAGTGTCAACTACCTGGGGGAGGGGTTACTGCCCTTTGTGATGTCATGAAGAGAAGACAGTATTAGTGTTAAAGTGTATTTTGCATAATATGTTACCTTTAAATATTGTAGAGATGTCATATTCCTGTGTCTATTATATACTTTTCAATTAACAGTGAATGGCAAACTTCAGCTCAAACTAACAATTTAATGTAAAAGAAAATGTGTCACATTGAAATTCAAAGAAAGCTACCATCAGTCTGTAAAGGGTGGGGTGGGGTGGGGTGGGGGGGTGCAGATGAGGTCCTGTGAGCGTCATTAGTCAGAGCTTGCACTTAGTTCATTAAGTCCTTCTTAATAAGCCATGTACAACGGGGAGATAACATAACTGAGTGCTATTATTCAGCCCTGCAGAATAAATCAATAAAAACAAATCAACACTGTAATGAATATCACTTTTCTGTTCTCATCAGAGAGTAAGAGCAGGCTTTGTTGAGCTTTGTGTTTTAGTGAATGAAGATGAACGCACAGAAGTTAGAAATTACTGCCTACATTTAAGATTTGATTTCTTGTTTAAACACAGAAAAGTGAAGGAACATCACTTTGTCCCATGATGCAATGCACAGAGAAAATGAAGGACTTGGACACAGTTCAAACCAAAGTTGTGTCCAGTGGTTTAAAGTCTTCAGATAATAACAAATTTATCTAAAGACTTTACTGTATGTTGCATTCTTCCATGTTTTTACCTCTTTTTTTCACCTGCTGAAGTTTCGGGGTTGCAGTTTATTCGTTGACTGTGACCTCACTTCGTCCTAATTTAACAACAATCATTTCCAGTGAAAACCACATGCATGAAGGAGCATAGGGGCCGTACTGCTTTATAGTCAAATGAGCTGCTATTATATGAGTAATATCTTGTTTCTTGTGTGAAGAAAATCAAATTTCTGTGCTCCTTTCAGTAAGTCTCCTGACAGGTTGAGAGAACTCCAAACACACCAGGAGCCTTTCTCTTGTTCTACAATCAGAACCTAAAGAGATATCATAATTCATCCCGCCTAATCATTAGATAAGGACTTAATGAACCCTTATTTGTAATGACAGTTTCTGCCTCAAGGTGCTGCTATTGAGTCCATAAGTTAAAGAACTGAAGACACACTGCAGAGAGAAACTGAGCAAACCTTTCTGCCATATAAACTTGTCGAGTGCTCGTTATTCTCCACAACATATAAAACCTGAATTATGCTTTTCATTCATCCAACCCTCCCTCTCAGTCACAAAGTGAAAAACACTTAAGCTGGAGTATCACAGTGTTTATATGTGGCTGTTTTATGACGCCTGCGTTCACATCTGTATATGTGCTCTGTATGTGTGTCCCAGTGAGCTCCCTGCAGACACACCCAGTCTCAGTTAAACCCAGTATTAGGACTCCTTCTAAACCCTCCACATTTAACTCTACCCCTAACCACAAGCACACATTTCCCCCCTCTGGTGGATGGTGGGGAAGGGGGGGGGGGGGGGGGGGGGGGGGAGAGACGACGACACCTTACCCTGTAACATAATTACCCAGAGGCCCTTGGGGTGTGCTTTAGTGTACTGGCAACATGCCCACTATCATGGCAGAGCACCCCCACTCACAGAGCTCGTACTGTACGCTTCCACATCAGCACATGTTAGGTGTGGTCTGTGCAGACTGCAGGCCGGACCCCTGTGACCACATAAAGCCAGGACAGGGGGCTGTGGAGATATGTCTGGATTTGTCTTTAACCCTAATTCAGACCATGCACCAGTTTTTAACACTTTGATGTTTTATGAATTAAAAAGACGAGTTACTGTCGGATAGGTGAAACGTTGTCCTTTTTTAATCAGGAGCGATCATTAGGGATATTAGGAAACTCAACCAGTGGGCAGAACAGGGTGAAATTTATATTTAATCTGTAAAACATTCTAATGGACTACACAGCAACAAATCACACTCAACCGGGCAATGACAAAAATATCTTAACAACGACCGACTTAATTTGACCTGTCTTCCCGTCACTCACTGTACTGTATTTATACCAGGAGCAACTTAAGAAACAATGTTATTGTGAGTTGTCAGGCATCAGTTTAATTTACTACCCTCTTAACTCACTGAGGACAAAAATGTCAAATATTGAATAATTATCAGGAATTTAACCCTTTAAATGCCAAAATCATGTAATCAAACTGGCATTTAAAGGGTTAAATTCCTAAAAATTGAATTGAATGTTTGATAGTTTTGAGGAGGGCTGAAGTTGTTTAAGAGATGTATGCAGAAAAAAGTAGAAAAAAATCAATGTTCTATTTTTCTAGCAGTTTTTTGGAAGTGGACATTTTTGTCCTTAGTGACTTAAGAGGGTAGTAAAAATGTTTCACAATGTTCTATTGATCTATTAAAAAAATTAAAATGAGCATTCCAAAATTTTTCAAGAGAGAGACTTTCTTACAAAAAAATGGTGCCATATGCACTAACACAGACAAAATGATGGCCAGATGAAGAGGAAACATTTGCCCAAATGGACAAAAATGTCCATAGTGATGCAAGAGGGTTTTAAGACAATTTGTAGCTTTTTGTTCGATATGTCAGTGATGCATGCAAACGTGGCTGGAATATCACTCTGACCGTGCACAGTGCATGGGAAAAAGTGATCAAATTGACAAAGCCCCAGACTTGTTCCTGAACAATTTCAACGTGATCATTCTGCTGCTCTGATTCTTGTGATGTAATGTGCTGTAAATGTGAGAATACTTACCGTCCACAGTGGAAACAAAGGAAATGCTGTATAGTCCTGGGAAAAGAATATGCTCCATACATCAGAGTCCTGTAACTTTCTGGTGTCTCTGCTGGATGCCCGGCAGGAAGTCTCAGCCAAGAATGAGTCCAGCACATTATAGCAGCCAGGAAGAAACTCCAAATCTGGATTTCTACTCATTATTCAAACAAGAAATACATGTTAATAAGAAAGTGCTAACAAATGAGCTGCTAGCAAGATGATTTTCTTTTTGTCTTACACCTAACAGCCACGTGAGCTGTTTCCCTGTACTTCAGGCAAAGTTTAACAAACAGTGCAGACCACAGGGGGTTCGATCCCCAGCTCCTGCAGCCACATGTCTAATGTGTTTTTGGGTAAGACTCTTAACCCCAAGATACTACTGCTGTTTTGCTAGGGGCATGTGAATGTGTATGAATGTATGAGTTAATACTGATGGACTCTTTACTCAGCAGCCTCTACCATCAGTGTGTGAATGTGTATGAATGTATGAATGTATGAGTTAATGCTGATGGACTCTTTACTCAGCAGCCTCTACCATCAGTGTGTGAATGTGTCTGAGTGGATGAGTTAATACTGATGGACTCTTTACTCAGCAGCCTCTACCATCAGTGTGTGAATGTGTAGGTGTGACCTGTAAAAGTGTTTTGAGTAGTCAGAAGGCTAGAAAAGCACTATACAAGCTCAAGTCCATTTACCACACTTACAATCAGGTTACCAGGAACATTTGGGACATTTTTTGGAGTTTTGTGTAATTATGAAGATACCAATAAAGGCAAATACTTGTCTCACCATTTTTTTAAAATCTTGCAGTAAATATCATTATTATCACACTATCACTAAAAGACCAGTAAGAATACTACCCCAGAAGTGGTAAAAAATAGAGATAGTCCTGCATAATATACAGTCACTAAGATGACTTAACTAATCACTAAAACAATTACCTTCAGAAACAGACTAGACTGAAGGATGACCTCTTGATTTGTACAAATTAAGGCCGATTTCGGTAAACTTGAGCGTGATAAGAGGACAGTCAAATGTGTTTATCAAGGTGCAGGACTGATCAGGTCACTACTGATCAATTGCAGTAGTAAAAAAAAAACCTCTGGTAACTGTGACTTAAGCTAATTTTAAGAAAATGTGATTCATGTCTCACTTGTTAAAGGTTACATATTTGTCTCCCTTTCAGCCAGTTTAAATAAGTCTCAGAGCTCACTAAAATGTGTGTGAAGTTTCTTGTTCTAAATCCACTCTGATTCTGTATTTGATCATGCCTATAAACCCCTCTATTTCAGCCCTGCTCAGAACAGGCTGTTTCTGTGTCTGTACCTTTAAATAAAAATCAACCAATCATTATCTATATAGTGCCAATTCATAACAAATGTTATCTCCAGATGCTTTACAAAGAGCAGTTAAAGACCTTACTCATTTTTATGTTACAAAATAAAATTGGTATAGGGGGACATGGGATAACCTGCAGGAAGGATTTCTTTGTTTTCCTTGCGTTTCTGTTGTCCACACTTCCTTGCCACTGAGTGGGAGGTCGGAGCAGGCCGTGCATGAATGAGGACGGCGGTGGTTGTAGGGGACGACACAGTCTGATGGTGGAGGCTGGGTGTCCGATGGTAGTAGTGCCCGTTCACCTCACTTGGGGGACCTCCGTCTGCTCGAGATCCCGGCTTCTGCTGCCGGGAAACAAGACCTCCTGGGCTTTGTGTCTGACCACGCCTCTGTCAGTAAGGGCTTGGGTGGCTTGTGTTTTCTTGCACCATTCCCTATTGTTTATGGTGGGAAGGCAGACTCAGAGGGCAGAACAAACACCTAGCTGTGGGAATGTCATCCACCTGGGGGAGGGGTCACTGCCCTTTGTGATGTCATGAAGGGAACATCTCCAATCGACCTGTTTGAGCACACATTTTCTGAAAAGTGGAGCAGGAAAAAGACAGAAAAAAATCGACTTTTCTCAGACAGACTAGACACATATTAGTGTTGACATTGTAAAGTGTATTATTATGCATAATATTTGATCTTTAAGTCTGACAGGTAGCATTAGCATCTTTTGCATACACATTGCTGTGAGTGAGTTGGAGCCAAAAGGGTCTGCTCCTGCAGCTTCACAGAACTATTCTTGTTCCTGCTGCAGGTCTGCTCTACCTGTGTGACCTCCCAGGCTGGCCCACATCCACAGACCTACTTAACAAGAGAAACTCAGGAGGCAGACACATGCATCCAGGACAGCGATCTGCGATGGATCGCTGTTTACAGCGATCCATCCCTTTTGGTAACTGTATCATGCATCAGAAGAAATCAAGAGTTGCTGAAACATCACACATCATTGACTGATTTTGAACCTCCTGTTTTGATTTTTACCTTGGTACCAAGCTGTTATACAACATATGCTTGGTGATGAATGGCCTGGAAATATGAATTAACATATTCAGCCAAAGGTTTGTTGAGATTGTGCAGTTTCTCCTGATGCAATAATACCAATCAGGTGGCTGCCCTGAGCATCCTGACAGCCTGCAGCGAGCAGGGGAATGCTGGGATACAACATCTTCATTGTATCATGATGATTTTTTTCTCTCACATGACTCAGTTTCAGTGGCTTACTGCTTACAAATGTATAATACCACACTTCATCTTGTAGCTGTGTACTGCTTCATGATGCTTAACTGCTTTTATTTTGTCCAACCTTTAGTATCAATCTGTGGCTGTTCACACTGACCACAGAGTTCAGCTATAATGACATTACATGTTAACTGTGAAGCTGAAACTTTAAGCCAACAAAAATCTCCAGTCCAACAGTTTGGGGGATTCTCTGCTGACAGTCGTTACAGACATTCAAAATAACTTTTAAAGAAACAATCAGTCCCTTTTAGTCTTTTTTGCTGTTGTATGTCATTAAGAGGAATCAGTATTAACTTGATTCTGTTTTATTACCAGATACAAACTCCTCACAGGAGCTTTAAAGCTTTCTGTTCATGGCCATACATACATCCCATTCCTGTGAACACAACGAAACAGGAAGTAACATGTTAGATTCCGGAGGTCAAAGATCAAGGTCAATGTGACCTCAGATCTGTCTCATCTCAACACCTGAAGGGACTTCCTCAAGATCTGCCACAAACTTTTACTTAAACTCAAGAACAAAATGATCCGGGGGTTAAAGGTCAAAATCACTGTGACCTCAGGTCTGATCAGTACACATGAACAGAATACGTTTTGTTTAATATTTGGCTAATTTCTTTATCTTCTATTTCCCCTTCTTCTGTACCTGTTGTGCTGCTGTGAGGACTGACATCAGGATTTATGAAGAAACAGAGAGACGAGGGAGATTGTGCTTGGGCACTGTACGGAGTGCTCTTAGAGTTCATCAAAGGAATGTTAAATATGCTTTGTGGGGTTTTCCTGTAAATAATTCAGAATCTAACTGAGTGAATCCACAAGGACTAATAAACATTTCCTTCCTCATTAAAAATGTGCATTGTTCATTTTCTTTTCAATCTTACATTGCTTACACAAGAGTGCATACTTGAATGTGTTTAGTACACAAAGACAATTTACACTAACCTTGGAGACAATTCACCCTTAATCAGCATGAATCAAAAAAATAAGAAGAGGCAGCAGGTATGAAAAAGATAGATTTATTTAATGACAAAGTAAAACATAAAGAGTCAAGGAGTTGAAGGGGAGCAGCGACATCACTGAGACTCCACATGAAGAGACAGGGAGAGATGATTGGCTTGACCTCCCTCCCTCCTCTGGAACAAAAAGAAAAAGAAAGAGACTTACCACACAAACATGAAGACAGAGAGACGAATAGATGAGGAGTAAACAATCCAACTGGGAGAAAAACAAACCTTCAGATGAACGACACAACTTGCTTTTTAACTACAAACACTTTAGTTTTAGCCACAAGTTACAGCCTTTTCATTTTTGTTTTTAAAAGTCATTACAAAAAATGATAATTATGATAATCTCCATTTAATAATAATAACAATAGCAACATTGTAACCATAGAAACTGTCCCTCATTCCTAGTTGGGCGATCAGTCTATCAGTGGTTGAGGCCGACACTGGCAGCAGACAGAGCGCGATGGAGGCAGAGAAGAAATGAAAGAAGAGAAAGGAGGAAGTGAGCAGGCTCTTTGCCACATGTCCATCTCACACACACGCTCACACACATTCATACACACACACAAACATCAGGAGATCTTCACTCTTCTCATACAAAAAACAACTAAAATAATTAAAAAGAAATAACATACTTAAGAAATAAACGCAAATGAAAATGGTGACTCAAACTGAAATGCAGTGTATTTTTTTCCTCGCTCTGAAAAACAAAAACAAAAGCTGAAACTTCTCTGACATACAGTTAATTAATCCTGTGTACACCTGAACACACCGCCTGTAATGCAAAGAACAGGTGTGTGTTTTAGTGTGCAAGACCTTCACCTCTGCTGTTTTATCCACTCCGTGAAAATGAAGATAAAAAAAAACACATCCGGGGCCGACGTCGCTGCGGTCCTTCTTAAATCTATTCAGTATGAGAGTCTGTCCAAAGAACTATCAAAGACAAGGGTCAACTATTTAAAGAGCGTCCGATGCACAATCTTTAGCCTTGAATGAACCGATGTGGACCAGATGTGGGCCGGAATGAATCCAGATGTACGGATGTTCAAAAAAATGTTCAGTTCATTCACCGTTCAGTCATCCTGGACATAACTGGGTGTCTGTGGTTATGTGGATGCTACAGCCGCCCATGCCCGTGGGAGGTGTTTCCATGGCGATCAATAGCCAACATCTGTCAGAGGTGGAGATAAATTTCCTAATCTGCCGATGAACTTCACCAGCTCTTGGTTCCAGTTTGAGCTAGCTAATACATGAAGACACCCACTGTGGAGAAACCAGGCCACAGCCACGTTATGGGGTAGCCCTGCAACTGTTGGCAGAGCGTGAACCTTTTCATTCCAGGAGGTCCGGAGAGGTGGATTACAAGCAGCAGGAATTATTCGGGGTGTGCGCTAGATAACTGGCTAGCTTCCCCCCTACTGACCTGGAGTCCATGTTGAAAAGTAGCTTGAGTGAGCAGCCTCTGTTTCTTTGAGAGAGGGCTGGCGAGCTGTTTGAAAGATTAAACGGCAACAGAGACACTGAAATAAGGAGGGCGGGGGGCAGGGGGGTTTGACCGTTTGTGTCTGTGTTTATGACCAAAAGACGGCGAGGCTGCATGTGCGTGCATGAGTCTCACATAGACGTTTGTGTGTGTTTAAAAGTCTACAGCCATCACTACACAGTAATGTCCTTGTTTATAATTATTCCTCCATTCATCCATCCATCCATTCATCCATCCATCCATCCCACCCCCTGGGTCTCCACGGCTGCCTGATCAGACAGTCCAGTTCCATGTCTCAAAGGGGTGAGGCAGAAAGGGGGGGCGCTGTGAGGTCACAACCAATTTGACCCCCTAAAAGTTGCCCCATGACACAATCAGTAACTCTTTGTCCCTCTTCTGTTGAAAAGTTCTTAGCACATGGATATGGTGACGTTGATGCCCAGGTTGCCGTTCTCTGCAAACAGCTGTGCGATGGACGTGTCGAACACCAGGCAGTCGCTGTTCATGATGGCTGTGGCGATGCCCTCGTGGATGGAGCGCGGCGTGGCCTCCCAGGTCAGGCGGCGCCGGTGCCCATTGAGCTCCAGCCGGTAGGCGAAGTTCTCGGCCTGCTTGCGAGTCCCGATGAGCTGCACGATGGCGAAGAACTGTTGGTGGCCGTCGTATTTCTCCTGCTTCTCTAACACCAGCATGAAGTGGAAGCCGAAGCAGGACTGCATCATCACCCAGTCCACTGCACCCGGCAGGTTGATGTCTGTGGCCAGGAACACGATGTCCTCCCCCTGCACAGAGACACACACACAACAGGTTTATTAAAAGGCTAAACCATCATGAGAAGTCATGAGAGAGTATTCTTTTGGAGCCAATGCAGACATCTACTTTCAGAGGGAAACCTAAATATAGCTTTTTCTCTTTACCAACAACACAACATTATTTAACTTGTAGCATCCACACAGATTTTAACAGCCGTCCATGTGATGATGTCATAGTGCTGCGTGTGAGTCTGATATAAAATACCAACTGTAGTGGTGTCTGGGGAGTCACATATTTATGCTGAACATGCTGAACATGCAGCAGGCAACAGTTGCCTCCTACAAACAGATGATAATATGCAGGAGTCTGTTAGCAACCGAGGCGTCATCATTTAAAGATATATACACTTCTAAAAAGACGAAGCAAATTTAAAACTGGAGATAGTCATTGTTATTTTTTAAAGGCTGGTGCTGTAATGAAACATTCAACTCATTTTTTCCTAAAGGAAGAATGAACGACTTTTTGATCCAGTAGATGTCGCCCTTGAGCACCAGTATGAAACCAAAACAAACTTTGTGGTGACACCTCCTCGATACTGAAGCCTCTGTTCTCCTCCAGAGCCACACCTCCAACCCCCCTCCACTCGAATTCACATGAAAAATGTATCAATTAGAACGCACTATAATTAAGCACCATTAAGCGCAAGCCGCGGATCAAGTTGTCCTTTGCTCGAGCTGCAATTCCCTCTGGCCTGAATTGTTGTTAGCAGCCTAATGTTAGCACACTTTGTTTAACTCGTAGCTTCATTTTGCACATAAATAAGCAGTGAGTAGAATATGTTATTCTTCTTTTCTCTAGTCCTCGACTAAAACAACTTTATTCTGGAGGCCGTCCCGTCAATTGTTAATACGGCGCGACAACAACACCGCCAGGGGGGACTCATGCTTCTCAGGGCACGGTCACACTGGCCATCCGTACCGTGCACGCTTCAATGCTAAAGTCCAGTTCGTTTGACCAGTGTGACCACTCCGTGCCACAATCGTGCTTGGGTACAGCATGGTACAGATGACCAGTGTGACTGTGCCCTCACTCATTGTCGACAGTCATGACTCAGAGAGATTTAAATAGGATATTTCTATGTGTAAAAATGTCGCAAATTCTTCCTCTAAAGAAATCTTTTTTTTCAAGAAGTTTCATAAACATAAAATCAAAACTTTGAATTCTGTGGTTAAACAATTTCTCTATGCTGAACTTAGAAATGTTATTGTAGTCACAAATTATTGATTGTGGGTTTAAGAGCTTCCACTTCCCTGACTTATTTAGCTTAAATTGCAAGATGGGGTAAAAATAAAGTCCCACTAACACTAAAGGTAAAAACAATTCATGGTTTACTCGTTACTTTGAGTAAAGTGAAGGTATCACACAGCAAATTTTCTATTTTAAAAAAATTACAGAAGAAATACAGCGAGCCTGAATGAGGACCAAATTTGGGCCTTGAAATTTTCCCTGATATAAACCCTTAATATTAAGTTTGTCAATTAACCTTTTTCCTCTCTGGTAGACATACTGGTAGCTTTAAGCCACTTAAGGCATGTTGTTAAATTTTAAGCAGTTAGCTGGTTTTACAGTGCTGATTGTTTTTGTTGGATGTGGTTTACCAAGTACGAGACATTGCTTTTTACTCGCTGAGTAAAAAGGTGAGGAGAAGAATTTGTGTCTGACCTGCAGCGTGGTGATGGACTTGTGTTGGTGCATCAGGTGGGGCATGACAGCATCCAGGGAGCCCTGCCACTTGCAGGAGGCTCCTGGGCAGGGGCAGGAGTACGGCCGGAACTCGCACAGCTCTTCGTGTTCCGTCTTGTCGGTGTGAGGCAGGGTGACTTCGCAGCCCGACGAGGCGTACTTGCAGGGGAAGAGGACTGAGTTGGCCACCTTCTCCATGGCCAGATTCCTGATGGAGCCCAGAGGGCCTCGGCAGGTGGGGCAGCAGGTGAGTTTGGGCCGACAGTTGGAGCATACCTGGTAATAAACACAACAATTAGTTTTAGCCCTATAGCGGCCCCAGGACAAACTTCTGAAAGTTTATCGAGCTAAATCAAAGTTTTAGCATTAACCCTTTAATGAATACTAGGGGTGTTCCTATAGCGGCTAATTTCAAATTTGGTTAAGTGCAAATTTAAAGTCTAAAGTAAGAAAACAGTCAAAACTAAGCACAATTTATTCAACACAGAAAAACACGAGCTATCAACATCAGCAGGCAAATTTAGCACCAGTGTTAGCACCGCCAGCCTTCGATCCACCTCGCAGGTTATATGTGGTTATGCACTGCATGGGTCGAGTGGTTATATGCCAGTTTAACCTGATACAGCCTATCAACACTATCTACATTTTTACACTCTGCTGACACCATGCTGCTCCTATGAGACACTATCCGTTCACTGTGCATGTTCACATCTGGGTCGTAGAGCATTACAGGCAGTAACAAATGACTGGAGCTACAGCCCTGGCTTGTGACAGCAGCTGCATTACAGTTTAGTGCTAGCATTTGACTGGCATTGTGGGCCCTGAATTGATCAATAAATATATAAATAATTCGTTTAGGCGACTAGAGATTGTGGTTCTGACTGGTAAGGGTGCTGAATCCGTTTAACTGGCTAATTGCACTCATCCCTAGAAAATACTTCAGGAGAGAAACAGAAATTACAACACTGGTTTCTGAAGGTAAGTAAGAAGTGTCAATGATTTCATCGATATTGCAATTCAGTGTCTGTTTCTTCTCATTAACCAACTGAAAAGGTGTGAAAAACCTCCTACAGCCTCATGTTATATGACTGTACCCTGACCTAGTAAAAAAAAAAGTTTCACAGTTGTTTCACAAAAAAAAAAAAAAACGGCAAATGAAACTAACTCATCTATACCAGCACTGCACTGATGAAAACGTCATCACGAACATGAAACCAGCTAAAACCGTCCAAAGGGAAATTATTTTGGAATGTAAAAACCATGCTGACACTTGCACAAAATAAATAACTCTGCTATTCCTGACTTTTTGTAGTTTTATGAATATTACACAAGCTCTGTAATAAAGGCTAGGTTTTTTTTTCAGCAGAGACATTTTGTTTCAGTCACTTCATTGGTTTCCCAAACTTAGGTCTGGGCTTTGAGGTTGTCAAAATAAAATGTTGACATATTAACAAATGTAGTGTGTGTGGGCCTATTCAGTTAGGAATTATCAATGAAATCTGTTATAATTGATAACTTGTTACTTTTGACAGCAATATCTCCCTTTTTCATGTAGATCTTAAGGATGCTCAGCTTTTCTTTGAGACAAGAAAAAAAGTTGGGAACCACTGAGTTAAAAATATATTTGCTTGCCGTATGTGGACATGATTTAGTGAACTTAACATAGAGAGCAATAGGGACCCTTGGTATGATATCTTAAAACACACTGAACACAACAGGCTGCAAGGTACATACCAGGTGTCCGGACTGGCACTGCAGGATGGGGGGTAGGACATAGTCGAAGCAGACAGGACACTCGAACAGGCTGGCCAGGTCGCTGTTGGAGGCTGTGGTGCCTGACAGGGTGGGCACGCGCTGAGAGGGGGGGCACTTGGAGGTTCCTGTGGGCAGCGCGGTGGCAGTCTGGCGACTCATTTCTGAAAGAAGGAGAGAGGTAAAGGGGGGAATGATGAAGCTTTCAGCACACTGTATAGCACTCTGTCAGGGACACAAAGTCTTATTGTTGAAGAGAATGTCCATTTTGTTCAGCTCACCTTGTTCTTACTGACTACACATTTACAGGTAAAAACCTTTCAAGTGTCTGAGTGAACTGCTTACTCCTCTACATCAAAGCTGATGGACACTTCACGACACAGAGAAGGATGATAGACACCCTGATTCTGTCTGGTTGTAACTAATATTTCTGGTCTCAACAATATTGTCTCACACTCAATAACGAACATTGTGAGGAAACTTTCATCATAATCATTTTCATGTAGCTTGTGCTGCTTGCCTGTTTCTCACATGCTCTCACAAGGTCATCTATGCAGTTCAAATGCAGCTATAATGTCTTGAAGACTAAGTAGAATCCTAATTCATTGTTTGTGAGGGTCATCATCAGCAACAACACACAAACACACATTTCAGATCACATCTGGTACCCACAGCCTTTTGGATTTCATGTGGAGCATACAGATATCTTTGTCTGGTCTGATCTGAGGGCTGAACAGCGATCATGTCAGTATTCCGTCTTTCACTGGCTGTCAGTGTCAGTCTGCTGCTCACCATGTTCAATTATCATCGCAGCAACAAATCAATGTGCACATTTTCTGTTTTAAGCATGTAAGAAAAGAATCAGCAGACAGGAAAGTGAACTCAGATGTGGTCGTGGGTCTGTGTATAATCTGTTTCCAATAGCGCTGCCTTGGTAACAGGTGTACGGTTAATTATGGGATGGCCTGTGGTGCGGAGAGAAGAGAGGAGTAAGCCTGACGTGCAGGACAAATGGTATGTGATGAGAAAGGGGGCCAAACAAGGAGGAAGGAAAGAGGAGATGATTCAAAAAAGGAAGGAGGGGAAGAGGGAGAGGAGGAACGAGGGAGCAAAGTTGAGAATTAAGCGGGGCAAATAGAGGAGAGAAAGAGCTGAAAAACTAAATGGGAAAATAGAAAATAAGGATGAGCACAGAGGACAACAGAGGAGGAAAGGAGGAACGAAAAAAAACATGCAACTAGGCAATGTGAGGACACAGCAGCGTGGGTGTAAGGATAAAAAAAGAAAGAAGGAAGGACTGGAGAATAAAGAGGATGTTTCTTATGTTGGGTCTTTTCTGGGTAGTAGAGGGTTGGGGTGGGATGACTGTGCATGCCCGTGTCCCCACACACTTTGCACCCAGGCATTTTTCATCCTTTATATAGCCCTTCCCACAAATGGATGCAGCACTGGGAGACCCAGAACAGAGAGGAGAAGAAGAGGATAGTATGTGTGGGAGGTGATGAGGAAGGGGGGGGGGAAGTCAGGTGGTGAAACAGTGCAGCAGTATGTATACAGACAGAACAACAGCTGGGAAATGAGCACCCACAAGCAAAATGCTGCCAAAGTCAGCTTTAGTCATGGCTGCACAATTTACTTAACCCAGCAGCTAATTTTACATTTTAAAAAAGGTGTTTAGTAGAAAATACTGCTGGAGTCAGGGAATACCATATGTGGTCTGGAATTTTCCTTGGCTTTTTCACTGTAAATACAGGGTGCATCAGGATCTCTAAAGAGGCTTTATATGAACACTTGATGACATCTATCTATCTGATGAGACGTAACTATTTCCAAACGGCTTCAAAAGTTTAATAATTTTAATTATTTTCTAAACAGCACTAAATCAATACTTGATTCTCTGTTTGAACTGAGAAAACCACCAGACCTAATTTGATGATTTTTCCTACACCTTCACTTCTTCCATAAGCTTCCCTTTCACTTCTTGCGTGGTAGGTGGCAGCAGTGCATGCAGGCCGATCATTTCTGTTAGTGCATCTGTCGGAGTAAAGCTTCTCTGTGCGCACTTGATGCCAACTGCAGAGGCAAAAAAAAACTGGACCTAATGACAGTCAGTATTAGCTGGCTGCAACTGTGGCTGTCAGCTTGTAAACACATCTGCTGTGATGGAGATAATGCCTTTGCGGCTATTAATAGAACTTCTTAGCTGGATAGCATACAGGCGGCAGCAGCACTAACAGCAGAGGGCCAAAATTAGCTGCGGACATTCAGCTTGGCCAAGGCCAGGGTCACAGTCATCTGGCATGCAATGACTGTCAGAGGTTGTTCAGGCAGTCAGTGACTTGGCAGATACAGCTTAAAGACAATACTGGAGTCAGAGCTAGCAGCATAGAGTTTTAATGTAGACGGATAGCTTCATGAACAGTTTATTCAAGTGGTTCTAAGCTTCAAATCTTATTTTTAAATGGTGCATAAATACATCCAGACTGGAAACTTGCACCATGTTTTGTTTCCCAATACCACAAAGCTAAATGGCTAAATTAGATTCAGTGTTTTTGCTCAAATGTAGTACTCCTTTGTGTCATTCAAATTAAATGTTCACTCTGAGTAAGTTGAGGCCCTGTACATGCTGCAGTATGTGTCTGTCCGTGTCTTTGGCTAAGGCTTATACACACTTTTTCTAAACAGGTGAAACACTGCAGTCCCATCTTGTGATATGTACATATACTGCAAATATTAATGGCTGAAAGCCTGAGTGACTTCACTCATTTGTAACTGCAATAAAAAAAGTTACATCTAGCCTGCCTGTCAATCAGGTGAGCTTTAAGAAATCAATTCCCTGTCCATTCCCTGTACGGTGTGTGACGATCGAGACATGAACTAATCGGAGCAATTTTGTTTTTTGAAACAGGCTGTAAACATGTAAAAACCTTTTTTGAATGGTTGTGTATCTGACTTCAGGTGCTTCTGCAGCTAGTTTCAAGCGGATACCCAACTAACTACACCAGAGGTTTACGCTTGGATATGCAACTTCTCGGGATAAAAGTATAAAACCGTAATCTGGAACCATAATAACATCTGTAATGAAAACCATTACTTTACTTCTTTTTCAGTTAAAATTAGCATAGAAACCTCTCATGGCTTACAGTTGATACAACATGAGGAATACTGACTGCAGCTCAGTCAGCAGAATGACTGTATGGCTGCACATACTGTACTGAAATAGATCAACATTGGACCTCAACCAGGGGGCCCAGAAAAGGGGGCAGTTTTTGTAGTCTCAGAGTTGAGAAACTTTTCAGTTACCACACCCAATACCAGATATGTAAAGTATTGTTTCCAGTTGATTATTAGTGTTCAATCTAATTACAGAGAATGTAATAACTTGGACTTTACAATGGCTCATGGAGATATGTGAGAAGCCAGTTGGGTTGTGATGGATGTGATTAACACATTGCTTCTGAGTGGTTGAGTAATACAAACACACACACACACTGTACACACATACTGCCAACCAAAAATTAGGGATGGAATAACATTGCAAACACAACATTACATTTAGATTCACACAAACAAAAAAAGGAAATTTTTCATTGTTTTTTTTCAGTATTCCAAGTATTAAACGGAGTATTTAAAGCACTAATTGAATAATCTGATAAGAATTAATGTTTTAAGCTTGTGGTATACATTCAAAAACACAGCTAGGCTTGTTAATATGGACAGTGGGAAGCTCTCATCATAAAGCTCCCTATACAACAACTACTGAAGGTGTGAAAAATATACCATTTGTATTTGTTTGTAAGTCCTAAATATCAAATCAAGCCAGCTCATTGGACTGGCTCATAATGTGTGTAATTAAGTGTTGCCATACATCTGCTGACAATGCTCACTGTAATAAAACCTGACTGAACATAAGGCTGCTATCTAAAGTGACCATCAGATGTAACTAATCCCATTCATACACATTCATACACCAGAGAGGAAGCAGTGGGAGCAGTTTAAGGTTAAGTGTCTTACCAAAGACACATCGGACATGTAGCTGTAGGAGCTGGGGACCGAACCCTCGACCTTCCAGTTGAGAGACGACCGACTAACAATTGAGCCACAGCTGCCCCGTGTGTGCGTGACAGAAAAGCTCAAGCTATCAAAAATGAATTGCAGTATTTTCTATGGTTCTTATCTTGAGCAGAACTAGCTGGGACATTGATCTAAACCTGAAGGTCGGCTTATTGCTGCTGAGTTGCTATGAATGAGTGAGAGCTGCTGCTTAGTGATAGAAATGCTGAGGTACTGACATTGTATGCTAGTTCAGTGTTTCCCCTAGGTTTACAGCGTTGGGGGGGTGGGGACAAGCTGACATGCCGAAACGGCGACACAAACACTTGAAGGAATCTTGGTGTTCATGTGTTACTTTTAATGACAGCTGTCCTTTTCTATCAGAAAGGTATCTTTAAATGACTTCTTTCCCTGATTTCTGACTCTATCCACTATCCTATCTCTACAATAAAAGCACAAAAAGACCAAAAATAAATCTAAAAAAAAAAAATAATAATAATAATAATATATATTTTTTTTTTTACTTGACCTTCAGGAAAGCATAACTTGTTTATGTGGCACTTGTTATGGGGAGAGAAGTGGCACTACAAAGAACAGACGAGTAAGTCCCAGCTCCCTTTTGTTGTTATTAGCAGGTGGCCTAGCAAAGGCTTTTACAGCCTGCATTTACAGTTTACAAGGATTTTTATTAGGAATGATACTTTTCCAGAGTCCCTTCTGAACAAAATTAAGCATCCAACAAAGAGTGTGAGAACAGAAGGCGAAAAATGACGCACAGAGGGGCTTGGAGGAGAGTAAGAGTGAGTCAGCTAACTAGATAGAGAGAGGGCGATGAGCACATACTGCTCTCTGGCATGAAGGTGGAGGGGAGGAGGATAACAGAGAGAGGAACAGCAGACACAAGCAATGACTATGCACACAGTGTTTGACACTCAGAAGCTGCAACATTAAAGGCAAAGAAGAAAGGAGATGGGGTGTAAACTATTTCTTTCCAACAGAGTCCTGTATGAACAAACAATAGGGCTAAATGAAAAGCTAGCAGCAGACAGATGTTGTGTTTGCCTCTCTGTGTTGCAGAAAGAGTAGACGGAGCTTCAAATTCTTAAACATGAAACAAGTTAATCAACAGCTTGGACTACAAGGAAATTAAAAGCATGTACAGGGCAAGGTTTCAGTTAGCGACTTGGGGTTTTCAGGGCTACAATGGCGGTTCAGTTTTTCCCCAGGTACTTCACAGTGTGCACTGCAAATGGTGAGGGGGAGAGCATTGTGAGTGATGTTCATAATGCTTTTGTTTGTGATCCTACAACATCAGAGAGTGATTGAAGCACAAAGGCCAGGTTCTTGTTGTACTGCTGAACAATATGAGAGTGGCCTTACTTTTTGCTCTGAATTAGGCTCTGCAACATGGCAAAAAAATATCATCATCACCAGAGTTAACAAGCCAAGTCTAGCCGGTCGGAAGATCAAACTGGGCACTGTTTGGTTCCTGGAGAAGGCAGTATAAAATGACTTTAACCTGGACATGAGTGTGTTTGGTTTGCCGACATATATTGAGAGGCAAAAATAAATGGTTAGTGTTAGATCCACAGGAACAAGTTATCCTGCGGTAAGCTCATGTGAGTAATGTGCGGGGAATAATAGGGTTGTTTTGAAGGAGTTAAGACATATCCTGGATATGCTGAAGTCCCAAGAAAAGCAAGAAAATTTCCATACACATGCATTTATTATTTCAGCTGAAAAAAGGCTAGAGAATTTGTTATTAAAGCTTGTGTGAGGAATATTTGGTTTGTTGTGTTTTGGCGACCCTGTGGACAAAACAGTATCTCTTATCTCATTGCTAATTTTGTGTGAGTAGTGCCATCTTGTCTTCTTCTTGTCACTCAGCGTGAATCTGTGCCTCGTAAAATGTAAACAGAGGCTGTTTCTAAAGCATGTTGTCGATTTCCTCGACAACACCAACCCCGCTGCATTGTTTACAGACTTATAAATAACTGTATAGAAACAATACATCTAATTTTTTTTGCGTTTGTAGGTCACATGGACAGGCATTACTATTCATTTCATTCCGTTTCATGACCAGTTAAAAGCTCCTCGCAGGACCTTTAAGTGACTGTAGATGGACTGAGAGACAAATGAAGAAGGGGGAAAGAATGTTGACAGAAACAAAAAATACCAACCTTCGTCCATAAGATTTCCAAATAAGGCTTTCGTCTTCTCTTGAAATGTGGGGACCTCTGAAAGAGAAAAGAAGAAACAGAAGGTAAACATGCTTTTATTGAGTAGCACTGTTAGAAAATACTGTTTGGGAATAACATCAACCGATCACATCACAACAATAAAACAACAACAATGAAGTAACTGACAGCAAGTTATTTCGCAGCACTCTGTGGTACGCCAACATCTTTCACTGACCAGAGCTGTGGCTTGGTGCTCATTACAGAGGGTATTACACACACAGTTCCCCACATGAAATCTGGTTTACATGATAATACACACTCTCCTGCTCACAGCAGCCATCTCTGCTGTGCAAACGTCCAACCAAGAAGAGCACTACCTGAAGAGTGCACTACTACAGACCTGCTACTCTCTGATATTAAGAAGCTGTTTGGACAACTAAAATATCCAAACCTCTTATCATACAACTCTGAGGCAACAATTCAGTGCAAATACACAATCCACCCATAGGAAACTAACAAAGCAACTTAAAACACAGACGGTTAATTGTAAAATTTAAGGAAAAAGAACCTGGCACACTCTTTGGGAACCACTGCCACTGACTAAGCACTAATCATCTAATGCGTTTAAGCCACTTACTGTGCTGCTAATGGAATGTAGATTAGACTAGCAGTTCTGCAGTCATTGATTCCTGCTGCCTCCTCCTAGTTGTCTCCACACTGCTTTCCCAGCACTGTTTATTCATATTTCATAAAGCAGTTAAAGCATTATCAAGTCTGTGTAAGGAGGATCAGAAGGCCCTGGTGCATCAAACACTTTCCAGAAGTGACAGCCTGCTGGCTTAACTGATTACCAACACAGACGAACTCTGAAATTCTTAGCAGGACATAATTGATTTAAGTAGTTTTTTTAGCTAAGATATGCACCTTTACCACAAAGCTGACATTTCTCTAGAAAGATTTAAGCCTGACTTTGGTGTTTTGCAAATCTGCCACTGCGACTACAACTTCCAACAGCTGTGCCAAATTGCCATGCTGGAGCACACTGCCATGTCTTCTGGTGCTCTCTTAATACCAATCACAACTTTTGCAGCCAGTGCAACCTACACCTGCTGCAGACAAGTGGTCCCCCTACTGATGCTGCCACATCACACACTGCTGCAAACACATGGGCAGAACTATGAAAAGCAACACAATCATTGAATGTAATTATACATTTCAATTTAGAATCTGACACTGATAATAGGTGCATTGTGTTTTATAGTGATTAATCACTGAATTTCAATCATTCAGCCTGATTTATCACGCTTTTAATCCTATGTTGATTCAAAACAATGTTTTTAACTGTTTGGCTAAAAAATGATTTTATTTTAAAACAATATATGGGACTTCCGTTAGATTGAATGTTACAACCTTAACTTCTCCCCTGAAAAGGGAACTTGAAAAGTTATGGAAAAAATCATGGAATTTGACGATAAAAAAATTGAATAAACTGTAAAATATGGATTATTGTGGAGTTTGTGTTTAAAAAAAAAAATCTGTGCATAAAGCTCCTTTGCTGTCTGCATGTCGGAGTGTTGCGGGGGAGTTTTGACACACACAAAATACAAACAGGAAAAAATTCAAATGGATTTGAAAGGGACCCACAATATATTATGTGGAAGTGTTTGCAACACCAACATGAGACCACCAGGATCCTCTACACTTGCAACGTTTTTAAACACAACAGTGAAAGCAAACTCAGAAGATTTAACCTCATTTTATAACTTGTGTGTAACTTAAAGTTGTCTAAAATCACGTTGCTGTTAGAAACATTTACATTATTTGACATTCACTAGGACTGACACACAATAAAATATTTTTTAAAATCTTAAAGCATTTTGAAAATGTGAAAGACTAGACACGCATGACGACAAATCATGACAGATTAAAATTTCAGTTCTTTTAGTGTGATGTGTGACGAGACGACCAACCCAGCACACCACACACTAACCGATTCATTCACCAACAACCATAGTGTTGACTATCAAAATGTGTAATCTCACAGTCAAACGCAAATTAAGAGTAAACAAACATGAAGCTAAAAGTGGCTAGCTGTTAGCTTACATAACTTCCATTATGGTAAACTTTTTGGTCCAACTCCTTTCCTTGTCAGTTGGATTGTTGTTTCTTTAACAGGACACAGGCTGGTCCTGAATTTATGACATCCATCTAACTTCATGCTTTGCGTTTGGCTGTCGTTGCCATGATTATGTTAGTTGTGCTTCCTGCTTCAGTCAGCTTCCTGCCTTATTGGCTATTGTTCCGTTCCACATGAGTATTCACAGAGTCTGTGCTCGGCAGTCATCGGTGTTCTCCCCCACAACAGGATTTCTAACATTAAATATAATTGAACATGCTTAACATTTAAGATTTCAAATCGGGACGGCCCTGATTGTCTTCCGAGCAGATCTGAGAGGTTGAAATCACTCTTAACACACCTCACACAACAGGAGAATCTGGCAAGATAATCGGGCCTTTGCCGAGTTTTGTTGGAATGAGGCAATCGGGTCGATTATCTTATAGTGTGTACCCCACTTTAAGGACCACTGATCATCCTTCAAACAGCTACAGCTTCATTATTAAAATTAAAGCTTAAGGTTAACAACTGTGGTGTCTAAGTACACAAGTTGTTGAATCAATGATGGTGGTTATGAGAGAAAGGTGGAGCCTTTGTAAATATTACACTCTCATTAGGTAAAACAAGTATGCTCAGAGTATCAGCATCACAGAGACAGTTATTCTCTGCATTATGTAACACAGATGCCAAACCAACAACTTGCCAACACATATCTCTAAGTAACCTAAGTGCATATAAAACACAGCACTGTGGGCAAGTGACATTTCAAGTGTATTTTGGTGTGCGGATGCCTTTCATATTTTTGGATCTAGCACCCACTTAGGTGTGCGTGTCTTTTTCAATTTTTCGTCTCACTATATCATCAGACATTAAGGAAACTTGCTATGATAAGTGCTGCCCTCTCTGACAACAATGCAGCAACCAGTATGCCCTCCTCCTACATTTTGATTCTGGTCCTGATAGTCTGGATTTGTTTTGTCCAGAAGGTAGGCGGTTTTAAGGCACCCCCACATGACCATTTTGGAGGCTCCATGGATTAATGTGAGACCAGTTATGACTGCAAGCGAAAAAGAATACTGGTTCAGATGTACAGGAAACTAATTCTACCCAACCTAAAAAGCTTCAGCATTTTTCTAATAATCTCCATGAGCAGACACTTGGTGAAAAAACAGGATCAATATTGGAAATACTTTAGAAAAATGGAGAGAGGTTAAACGAAGAAAGGTTTACAGACTGATGCAGTCATGCAGAGCTGGTCAAACACTGAAGCTTCCTTGTCCACAACATGGCAATCCTGTGGGCATTGACTCTAGGGAGGAGGGGGCAAGGGGAGACAGCTCGCTCCAATGTTTTGAAATTAGACTGCAGCAACAACTTTAAACGCCAAGTGTCAGAGTAACACATTGCTCCTTGAACAGATGTTTATTATTTTGGAAGAGGAAATATGAAAATAATCAAAAATATATTTTTTTTTATATGCTTTTGTAATTTACAGAAAATGTTCCAGCTCAAAGTGTATATGTTAAGGTTTGAGTCTATTCTAAACAAAACAGAGATCAAATATGCATTAATTTTAATGAAACACTAAATTCATCCTGAGCAAAGTCAATCTGTTGAAAGTACAAACTTGCCTCAGACCAAACATAAGCACATACATACAGACACTATGAGAAGACTGCACATAAAGATGTCTTTAGGACTCCAAACAAATGGAAAATGAATACAAGATGCAAATATTCAGAGAACCTGAGACACTGTAGTGCCAGAAGAAAAGTGAGAAAAGGAACACGGGGGGAAAAAAGACACAGGTAATAAACAATAACTGAGGGAGGGGATGAAGATGCAGAGGAGAGACTATAGACACGCAGGAGATGGAGAGGAGAGAGATGAACAGAGCACGAGTAAAGAGGGAGGCAGAAAACAAGCTCGGCTTGAACGCAAACATGTCATTCTTTGTTCTCAACTCATGGCCCACTCTTTTCCCAGTCACAAACACACATTGTACAGTGCTCGCTCGCACACTCTGCCACATAGATTTTAAAATGCACACAGGCACACTTCCTTAAAGCCTCCTCTGTCCTCACCCACACACAAACATTATTGAGCATGCATTCTGTCACAACATACACTTGAATACTTTTATTAGCCAAGCTCTCTTTACACAGAGTATCAACTGACCAACCTGACACACACACACTCAGCTGGACTGAGCACAGGAATTTATGACGTTCTACAACACATTGGCTGCAGCTGCATGTAACACAAAACAGAGGAGGAATAAGGTGTAAATGTGAATAGAGGCAAGTGTGTGTACATGCATTAGCCTTTAAAGCTCAATCACCTTCCGTCCTCTGAAAGTTCCTTGTGGTTACACACGAGAAGAGTCTGAACAAGGAGTTCCAGGGCGGAGCTTGCAGTGCTTCGCAAGCCGACTTGGATTTCACTTGGACCAGAGACATAGGGCTAGAGCATTCACGCAGCCCCTTGACTCCATTTTTTTTTGGCCTTTTCCATGGAAACCACACACTTCTACTGCTGCCCCAAACACGCCGCAAAACACAGGATCACATTTCTTGCACCTGGTACCCCCCTTAAGGGAGCATGAGCTCATGAGGGTCCAGAGAAAGATGTAATGAAAAAGAATGAGGCCTGTTTAGACTACAGGCAAAAATAAATCTTTCAACGCCTGTAAGAAATAATGCAAAACATAGGATACAATTGGACTTGGGAAAATAAAAAACAAGTAATTTTTGGATTCCCCAAGTGTGCCAAGTAAACCAGGTATCGATCTGACCTGCCTATGAGGCCAAACTAAAATGGAGCACTAGGCTGGTTGCTAGGCGCTAATGCTGCAGCTCAGAGAAACAGACAAATAATGACTACTTTCTGTAACACTGAAAGCAGCCAACAGTCTGTAAGCAGTCTGTCAGTGTGTGGTCAA